AGACACACAACCAGCTCCCTCAACTACTTCAATTCCAACTTCATCTTCTGACCTTCCCATTGCCATCAGGAAACCAACCAGAACCATCAAACAACCATCCAAACTCCAAAACTACCATTGCAACCTACTTCAGCAGGTTTCTTCCTCCAGTCATTCTCTTCAGCAGCAAGTTCCAGGTATCACCTACCCTCTTTCTGATGTACTTGATTACAGTTCCTTGTCAACTCCTTATCTCAAATTCATCCTTAACATTTCTTGTTACAAAGAGCCTGAGAGTTATGAAGAAGCTGCTCAAAGACCAGAATGGAATAGAGCCATCAATCATGAGATTGATGCTCTTGAACAGAACCAAACTTGGGATGTAGTCAGCCTCCCAGAAAACAGAAAACCACTTGGCAACAAATGGATCTTCAAATACAAATTTCTGTCTGATGGCAGTTTAGAGAGGGAGAAAGCCAGATTAGTGGCCAAGGGCTACAATCAACAGGAGGGCATTGATTACCAGGACACATTTGCACCAGTTGTCAAAATGACCACAGTGAGACTCTTCCTAGCCATAGCTGCAGTAAAATCATGGCATGTTCATCAGCTTGATGTGAACAATGCCTTCTTACATGGGGATCTCACTGAGGAAGTGTACATGAAACTTCCTAAAGGCTACACACCACCACCACACATCAAGAATCCAGTATGCAGGCTTAAAAAGTCACTCTATGGACTCAAGCAGGCTTCCAGGCAATGGTTTTCAAAACTAGCAGACAGCCTCAACAGCAGGGGTTATACATCCAGCCAAGTTGATCATTCTCTCTTCTTCAAGTCCACAGGGTCTCATTTCACTTGTGTATTGGTCTATGTTGATGATCTGGTTGTTGGTGGCTCTGACTTGGAAGAAATCAATCAGCTCAAGAACTTCCTCCACACAACATTCAGCATCAAAGATCTTGGCCCGCTTAAATTCTTCCTTGGCATTGAAGTTGCCAGGAATTCATCTGGCATCCACCTTTCCCAGAGAAAGTACACTCTTGAGATACTTGAGGAGGGAGAAGTATTACTTTCCAGACCAGTTTCCACTCCTATGGACTACAAACTCCACCTGACTGCCAATCACTCAGATCCATATCCATATCCTTCCTTTTACAGACGCATTGTTGGCAAACTGATCTATCTCACAACAACCAGACCAGACATCAGTTTTGCAACCCAACAGGTCAGTCAGTATATGTCTAATCCTAGTGTCCAACATTACCAAGCAGTCAGCAGAATCCTACGATATCTCAAGTCAGCTCCATCAACTGGACTCTTCTTTCCTTCATCTTCTGATCTCCATCTCAAGTCCTTCAGTGATTCAGACTGGGCAGCCTGTATGGACACTAGACGTTCTATGACAGGCTATTGCATCTACATAGGCTCCTCACTTGTGTCCTGGCGCAGCAAAAAGCAGAAGACCATTTCCAGATCCTCTTGTGAGGCAGAGTACAGAGCCATGGCAGACACTACATGTGAGCTTCAATGGCTCCTCTATCTCCTCAAAGACTTCCAGGTTCCACATTCCAAACCTGCCATCCTTTATTGCGACAACCAATCCGCAATCCACATTGCAGAAAACCCAACTTTTCATGAGCGGACGAAGCACATCGAAATCGATTGCCACCTCGTCCGTGAAAAATTGCAGAGTTCCACCATCAAGCTGCTCCCATGTTTCGTCACTCCATCAGCTAGCCGACCTCTTCACCAAGGCTCTACCACCTGCAACTTTCTCCACTCTCCTCTCCAAGCTTGGTGTGCATAATCTATGCCCACCAGCTTGTGGGGGGGGTATCAGACCAAAATCCCCAAATTTCAACTTCAAATGCAACGGCTACTCCCACGGCTAGCTGGTCCGACATCGTTTCGGGAAAGGGAAGAAGTCATCCGAGAGGAACGACACCGTCTCAAGACAAAGGGAAAGGCAAGCTTAATACGCTGCCGTTTGTAACTCAGTGACAGTGTGTCACTTTCGTTCCCCTGTACTTGTTCTTCAGAGCTCTGTTTTTCCTTTTCCTTTTTCTGCATTTCGACAGCTCACCAGAGCTTGTCTTCTAGCTTTGATCTTTGTATAAAAGACTGAGATGATGAATGAGAAACCAAGTTTAGGGTTTGATATCACACACTCGGTGTTATGCTGTGCTTGTTTGCTTGTGCCCTTATTTAACGGGAACTGTTGTTGCGCTTCCTCAGATTTTGTTCAAATATTGAGGTTACAAATGATGCCGAAAAAAGGGGAAATTTTCCAAAAGCACTTATATACCTGATATTGTCGAAGATAAACTACAATCTCATTTAATTAAAAAATAAGTGTTGATGTTATTTACAAAAAGAATAGTACTAGCATTGATGATTATGCATGTAGCAATTAAAATTGTTAAATTACACAATGCACTGACTTCAAATTTTTTTGAAAACTCCTATGAATCATCATCATTAATCATTTTGCTTGACCCACGATCCAAAGCAACCTACAGTCACCCCTTACATGTCATTAGAATAATCAAGTTTGTTTCAACAAATATGAATATTTTTTTTTTGTATGAAAAAACAGTGTATTTTGCTTTACTCCTAAAATTCCAATTGTTTGAGCAATTTTCTAATGAACTATATAGAGAAAGGGTCCACAAGGCCACTACCAAAAACCGAGTGCCAGTCAGCACTTGTCATAATATATTGTGTATTCATTAATTCATTGCTAATCAAAGATTCAACATCAACTAATTCCCCAAACTAAACAAATCACTTAATCTTAAACAATTCATTAATGATCTCAGCTGATTGAGATTTTGAGCCAACCAACAAAACAATGGGTTAATTGCACGGTTGGTCACTCAAATTACAAAAAACGTTCATGTTTGGTCACTCGAAATATTTAATTCCATTCTTGGTCACTAAAATTAGTTAAAGAGTTCAAGTTCGGTCACTCTCCGTCCATCTCCGTTAACTTTTGCTTATGTGGCAGTCAACTCTTACAATTGACCGTTAAATGTGCCACGTGGCAATTTAAAAATTAATTAAAAATAATATTTTAAATTTTAAATTTCCAACTCATTATTCCAACTAATAAAAAATAAAAATTATAAAACACCTAATTTCTTTTCTTCTAATTTCCATGCTCGGCTGAACCTCAACCGTCCATCTGCGGCTTCACTCACGCCGGCCACCTCTCCACGAGCTCCCCGTCAATGAAAATCCCCTAAATCAAAGACAACCCACCCAAATCTCATCCCAAACCTTTAATTCCCGGGGTTTTCTTGCAATGGAGCCAGGAAAGCTCGCTACCCGTGTCAAGCACCATCGTCACGGCCTGCGGCGGCGACCCGAATGTGAGGGAGACGGTGAGGGAGACGTTGTGGTGGAGGAGCATCTTGTCGGATTTGGAACCCGCGGCGAGGGTCTGGAACAGCCTAGAATTGGGAATCCGCTGGTGGGTCTCTGTTTTCAGGGCGAAAATCTGGCGAGGCGGCTTCGAGGCGAGACAGTGCTGTTCTGGTAGAAGGGAAATTAGGAAGATGAAGAGGGGAAGGGAAACAGAGTGGCGGATTGAGAAGGCCATGGCGGCGGTGATTTGTTGTTGGGGGAGGTGTGGGTTGAGTTTGGGTTGGTTCAAATCAATGGTGGATTTGAGGGGAGAGTGAATATATAGTACATAGTGTAGTAGGGCGTGGAGGGGATTTTGAATTGAAGACGGAGATTCTGTAGAGCGGAACGACGTTGTCCGGACTCCCCACGACATTTTCCCCGAAATATTTCAATCGGAAGATGTTCTACAGCTTCTTCTCGCCGACGAAACCCTTCGCAGTATCACTATCACCACGTTGGCATGCAACGATGTCCCATCCCCACCCATATCCGGGTCAACTTTTTGGGCTCCCGGATCTCCAAGCCTCACTTCCCGCTCCGGGCCCAGATCCCCATGTACGTCGGGTGCTTCCCCGAAGAAGAGGAGTTGGGGGAGCAAGGCGTGGTTGTTGTGGTTGAGGCGGTAGTAACCGCTGACAGTAGCTGGGAAGGCCGGCCTGGAGAGACAGTCGGGTTTTGTGTCGTAATTGGAGCTGTTATGAAAGTGAAGGTAGGAGTTGTAGTTGTAGCAGTAGCAGGAGTATGAGGGTTAGGGATGTTCTGCAAGGGATCTGCATAATTAAGCCAATTGGAATTTGAACAGGGGAAACCTTACCTTATAATATAATACTTTATTTTTGCTCTGTTTCTTTTCATGAAAACAGAGATGAACAATCTCCAAGTTCGTTGAGGTGCAATATCATGCATATTCATCGATTGGCGAAACACGGATGGTTTCAATTTTCAAATCATAGTTTTCCCACGGCGGTCAGTACCTGTCCGGTATCGACCGTTCAAGAGAAATTCTACCAGCCTGTTCACCTCGGAGATGAGGAGCTGGTGGCTGGCGGAGCTTCTCGACGGAGCACCTAGAGGAATCCAAGAGCCACCACCGCTGAGGCGATGGTCTCCGGGAGGCGGGAGGTGCTGCGAGGACGAAGATGAACTGCGACTGGAATTCGCTGGGCGGCGGCGGCGGTAGTGCGGCGGCGGAGTAGGTAACTCCAACGGCATCGGGGTTTGGTCGATAGGGTATGGAGATTAGAAGAAATTAGTTTTAATATTTTTATTTTTTTAATAATTGTGATAATGAGGTGGAAATTTAAAAAATTAATTTTTTTATTTTAATTAATTTTTAAATTGCCACGTGGCACATTTAACGGTCAATTGTAAGAGTTGACTGCCACATAAGCAAAAGTTAACGGAGATGGACGGAGAGTGACCAAACTTGAACTCTTTAACTAATTTTAGTGACCAAGAATGGAATTAAATATTTCGAGTGACCAAACATGAACGTTTTTTGTAATTTGAGTGACCAACCATGCAATTAACCCACAAAACAATATGATAAGAGAAAATGAGTAGGGAATTGAGTAGTTGGGCTTAGAGACATGTGGGAGTCTACTATTTGGGCCCACCCGCCACGTGACAACACGCTTTCTTGCTTTGCTCCTTCCCCTCTCTCGTAATAGTGTATTAGATCAATGCTTACAAATACAACTTCCGAGCTAAACAACTCTTAAAGACGGCAATTCCTACAAACGCACGCACGTAATCCTAGCCAGTTCTATCTATAAGCATCAATAATACTCGGAACATGTTTAGCACCATAAGCAAACAGCTAATTATAGACTTGGGACTCAAGCCCAACAGTGAGCCCAAAGTAAGCAAAGGCCCAATTGAGAATGAGCCCAAGGGAAAACAGCACAAGTACTACTACCAACCTTTTCACAATTTCGCACAGGTCAATAATGCCCTCTCAGTCTCAGTTTTCAGCCGAAGCAAAAGTCAACCAGCTGACAATACAGCTGAGGCGTGAAGTGAAGTAGACACGAGAGAGGAGAGTAACCAAAGTGGGGATGGGACAAAGTTTCCTAAACCAAAACAGAAACCAATAGTATGGTAAAATCCTGCTTATTAGAAGAAAAAAGCATGGCAAAGAAGACTAGAAGAGGGTCAAACAGAGTGATGCCTCCTCTTGCCACACTTGAAGCCAGGGCGGGCTAGCAATCACTCCTGGACTTCCTGCTTCTGCGAATCACCAGACTTCAGATACCACCCGATAGATGCAGCGATGGTGACCACTCCAGCCACCACGGCGTAGTTGCGGTAGGTGTCGGTCGAGACCTTCTGGGTCGAGCCTCCTCCTCCAGCAGCTAAAGAAGTAGAAGCGGAAGCTGTGGCATTAGTTGCTGCAGAGCTTGCTCCGGCTGTCTCCCCTGGACTGGGGCCCTGAAATGAGAGGACATAGAACAGTCAGCTTGATATCATCATTATCCTCCAGTAACCCATGCACTATTACATTCATCACTTGGTTAAGATCACAGATGGTGTTTTATGTTCACCCTCCACAATGAACGGAACAGCAGGTTAAGAGTTTATACTAAATGGGAAGCTGCATGACTGGAGTAAGTCAAACATCACCACAAACTCTCATGGCAATTCCGACAACAAGATCAACACTCTATCAATTCACAGGTTCGAAAAGGTGCCTCTCATAGGTTTGAACCAGAACATTTGCATGAACTAAGATTCATCAAATCAGAAGTGTTGTTGACATACCTTGCGAGCGAGCTTCTCCAACTTTTCCTGCTCCTTTTTCTGCAGTTGATTGACATACAAGCCATTAAACATACAAATAAAATTATAGCAGTACCAGATATACACTCCATCAAGAGATAAGATGTCGAGAAATGTAAACCAATTCCCTGATAGTATGTATGGCAAATATGGACAAAAGGCATTGCTACTTGTGGGGCAGACAAAGGGAGACACAGAACTCCGACCCAACATACTGAATATATTTGACGTGAAGGCAATCACATTGCATCTATCCCTTTCTGCTTTTGGTCATAACTCATAAGCAATCTGAGCCCACAACATAGATTCCTCCACCACCCATAATCAAACCCAAACTACAAGCATCCATCGATAAGAATATACCATTGACTCAACTAACACTTCAAGGCAGTCCTTCATATTTATTCTAACGATGCCAACAGAAATGTTTTCTTCTGCACATTCAACTTATTGCTCTGAAAGCTTAATTTGGAAGAAACATAGGGTTCTTTTCATTGTGTTATAAGATTGCATAGTCAATCAATTCTGTCGAGGCTTTTTCCAAGTATTAGCTCAAAATCAATGGAAGATACTAAAACGAACATAAAAAAGTAGATAGGACCCCATAAACACATACAAACATAAAGATCCACAATGAAATCCAAATTCGCAACATTCACATAGTTCACACTTCACACAACATCATCATTAAGATGGAAAAAAGAAACCAAAGAAGCAGGCAGTTTTGAGTTCCTATGATTCAACACAACATCCAACATCAAAATCTCACCAATGCTATCCACATTGCTACAGAAATCCAAACCCGTAACACAAGAAACACCAAATCAAGTAACAAATAGGAGAAAACTCCACGGTATAAGTTCCCACAAGCCAAACATGGCCAAAAGCAGTCAAAGTTACCTTGATGTAAACATTCTCTGCAGCTTTCTCCTCTTCACCCAGAACTTTACCACCACTGGAGAACCTCCTGCTAATGAACCTCATTGCAGAACTCCTGAACGCCATGATACCTACATCAGCCAAATACATCGTCAGATACTGGCCTTTCGAATCAAACAACCATGTTTAAGCACCAACACAAAAGAAATGCAAAACCTAGCTTCACCGTTTAGAATCAGGACATCAACACAACCCATAATCACACATGCTATCTCAAAAACAATGAAAATGAGATCCTAGGATGCTTCTTCCAAACAGAGAGTCCACGGAAAATGGAAATATTTCATCACAAATTAGCCTAGCAAAAATCCAAAACCAAGCAGACGATACAAGAAGCTTGTCTGGACGAAAATAACTGTGAATCCAAACAAAACACCTCTCCTGCAGAAAAAAAATCCGCGTCTAGCTAGTTTATTCACCAGGTCGTCATCCCTAACTGCGTTCAACAAAACTGGCCGAGAATCTCAGTCGCACGGAGAACTCTCGTCACCGGGACTTAGACCGTCGGAAGGACCGACGAAAATCGAGAAATGGAACGAAAATCAACAATCGAAAACGTTTACAGAGCCAAACAGAGCAAAAATATCCGCATCGGCTAACCAAGCTCACTGGAAAACGAGGAAATGGGACAAACCCTGACAGGGAAAATCACTAGAAATTGCAGAAGCTAAGATCGGAGTAGAAGAGCATCATCCATGGGCGACGATGATAATAGCAAAGAAATTAGGGTTTTCGGGGAAGGAAAACGATGGCTCTACCTGAGCAAGAAATGCAGCGACGAACCGACTTGGGGAGGAGGTCAGGCAGGCAGCTTGGTTTGACAGGGGGAGAGTGTGTGAGCGACGGGAGAACTGTGCGTTGGTGGCTGAAGTATATTAGAGCGGTTTTCGGGGGTGCCAGATCTCCTGCGGCGCTGTGTAGTGCAAGTGCCCTGCGATTGGGTTTTAGGAATCGGGATCAGGATGCTTTTGACGGTGGTGATTGAATTCGTAGGAAGAGAACGTACTTGCGCTTTGATCGACCAAGATGATTCGATGTTCTTGGGCCACCGGTTTGGTGTTAGATGGGCTGGGCCTTTTATTCGGCTGAGGATACGGTGTGGGCCAATATTACGGTGCCGTTGAAAAAAGCGGCACCAGTGATGACGCAAGATTTGATTAGTGTAACATTATGGTTAGGAGTGATATGGTAGGATTTCACAGTGATAGGGATATTGACAAAAATTATTATGTGTTGGTGCTTCCACGCATACATTGTTTGCTTGTTTCTTTTGTTTGTATATGAGATTTCTACACCAAGTTGCATGCTTTGTATATCTTTTTTTCTATCATTTTAATTAGCAAAACTATATATCAGAAAAAACTGGCTGACGCATTCCATTGACTTGATTTGGACATTGCTGGTTTTTGTTTTCTCAACCAGGGATTCATCGCCTTTGGTGTCATTGTGGTTTTTGGTCTAAGGGCAATCCAGATTGGGTTTTTCTTATGAAATCTCTTGGTAGCTTCCATTTTTACCATCGATAATTGAAGCCAGGTAAACATTCCTTTGATTTTTTCATGTTCACTCTTGGGGCATCATGGTGCATGGCAATAGTGACTATATTTAAAGCTAATGGTTTGGTTTGGATTGTCCATTATGGTGTTAATGTTTTACTGTTTTCTTTTGTAATGCAATGGGAGAACGACTTTTCATCATATTATTATATATGGACTATGGTATTGTTGGCCTACTTTCGAGCATCGATGCATACATGTTAACGGGTAATATCAATTAAAATCTAAGAATTAAGAATCAATCTCCATGACTACGTACGGTCAAGGACCGGGTAATAAGCTAGTATGTCTAAGAGAAGGAATCTCGTTCCTGGAAACCTCCATCGTCTTGTTGCGATTGTCAGAAATCTTTGCATCTCTTACAACAATTGATATTGTTTCAATACAAATGAAAAAGTCATACCAAGGAGAGGACAAACGGCTGCAATAAACTAAACTAGCAAAGGTAAAACAAGATGAAAATGTGCAAGTATACCTCACTAAACTGATGGTTAATATCTTGAGTTATATTATACATAGGAACTTAGGACGACATGCCCAAACACAAACCATCAAGGAATATAGTACCCTTTTGTACGTCATGCAATTTCGTCTGCCAAAACTTCAATTACAAATGTTGAATGACCAAAGGAAAATAGGCACATTCAACTTAACTCAAGTCAAATGAACCTTGATTTATCAATTAAATTAGAACTAAAATATCTATGAATACTATGATGAAGGAAAAGAACACATTGTGATTAGAAGGTCTAATATAAATTACAATCTTCCATGGGATACTTTATGAGAACTTCAGAAGGATGGTTGCCTGTTAGTGAAATTTCAAAGTTGGTAGGTGGGTTTGTTAGTAGAGGCAAAGTACGGGGTGTATTTGGTAAATAACCCAAAATAGTTTTTCTTCCAAAAGCCAGCGAGACAGGAAAATCCTACGTGGCGTCAATCGACTGGCTGATCCGTCGTAATTCCCCCTTCCCGGCTCCGCCGAGCTAAACTGCGCCATTCATACTCTACACATCGTTTCTTTTCCACCGCCGTTGGTCCCGCGAGAATCCCAGAGGTAGAATCAGAAAGAGGCGGCGGCTGGGAAAACCGGAATTCACCATGGCGGTTCGAGCGACCGTGAACCGGTTCCCGATGGACCAGGACGCTCAGGAGTCGTCGGGGATCCCTTGGGGATTGACGGTCACTCCCTTCGCCACCAGGGACGAGGACGGCAAGCCGCCGGCGTATGGATCCAACGGCCATTTGCTGCCTCGATGCGAGAATTGCTACGCCTACTTCAGCACCTACTGCGAGCTGGATCAGTGGGCCTGGAGCTGCGCGCTCTGCGGGACGCTCAATGGACTCCACACCGAGGCCATTGCTCGTTACTCGCTTCCGGAGTCTTGTCCCGAGATGATGTCCTCGTTTGTAGATCTCGAATTGCCCGGTGAGTGTGATTTCTAGGCATTCCTCTCTGCTGTTTTGGTTTGAATTCCGAGAGACGGTGATTGTGGAATGCGGTATAGGAATTGTTATGTAATCTTCTGGATCAAGAACTTCGATTATATGTGTACTGTGCAATGGAGGTGCTTGAATTTTGTATTCCATGGTTTTAGGAATCTCTGATTTTACGCTTCTGATGTTTGTAGCTTTGGCTACCTTTTCTGATCGATGCACCATCTCCATTTGGCTTATGGGTTGAATTGGCTGACTGAATTTTCATTATGGTGCCATAGTTGAGGGGGCAGAAGATGAAATGTCACAAGCTCGTCCAGTCTATGTTGCTGCTGTTGATTTGTCATGTAAGCTTTTTCTATCTATTCTATAAGTTGCGTCGTTCTTTTTACCGCTACCTTGCCTTAATCTTTAAGGTGGAGTAGCCACTAGCTGGCAAGTCTTTTCATTTGCATAGCAAGAATTCTGAAGAATGGAAGCCCTGGATGCTCAGGATAGCTTTGAATTTGATATTGCACTTTTCTGATTTAGCAGAATCTCAATGTCTTCTTCTCAACCTAGGCAGTTATTTTCCCCTGTAACATGCAATGATAGTGTTAGCGTCCAGTTAATAAAAAAAAAGGGGATAGCGATCTCATGTTAGAGTGCTGCTTATCCTCTTGTTCGTGGAGGATATTTTGAAGTACAAAGCACTCTATTGAACAGTCTACAAATTTGAAGTACAAAGCATTTCTGGAAGCTGTTAATTGTCACTATTAATTTTATCTGGAATTCGTCTGCAGCTTCAGAAGAATTTTTGGAGCTTACAAAGAGTGCACTGGAGGCTGCTCTGGAAGGTTGAGCCTTCATTCCATTTGTGTTTCCTATATCAAATGCTATAGTCATAAGTAATTCCTTCATACCTTATGAGAAGAACAGTTTGTGCAAGCTTTAGAGATGGTCTTTAAGGTGATTTTTTCCCCTTAAATGTTATTGCAGCTTTGCCGCCTGGTTCACTATTTGGTCTAGCTACATTCAGCCATAAAATTGGGTTATATGATGTCCAAGGGCCCATCCCAATTGTCAAGAATGTTTTCATCCCTCCTGATGCAGAGGGCACCCTGCCAGTTGAGCTTGAAGATGTCATGCCTTTATTACAATTCTTGGCCCCCGTATGTTATTTTTTTCTTATCTTATTTGTGTTCCTTAGAAACTTTTTATCAGTCTTTTGTTAATCAAGCTAGATGTAACGATCAAAAGCTCACGGAAATAGTTAATTAATTCACTAGGTGTAACTGATTTAACGTATTCATTGCTCTCACCATCTAGTTCATTGGTTTATGCTTAGGTGGATACATTTAAGGATCGTATCACAGTTGCACTTGATACTCTCCGGCCAACAACTTCGTGGGAGAGAACCTCGGGTGCAGGACAAGGTATGGATGGCGTTTTGATGGGTGGGCGAGGATTTGGTGTGGCAATGGAAGCTCTGTTTAAGTACCTGGGATCAGAATACGGGAACACATTTGCTTTAGGTCTGCAACACAGCTACTGACTTTTGTAAAAGCTTTCTCCTTCATCTTTTTATCCAACATGCATTAAAGTTGGTGCTTAAAAATCATGCAGCTAGAGTGTTTGCCTTCATCTCTGGTCCACCTGATTATGGAGCTGGCCAATTAGATACAAGGAGGTACGGTGAACAGTATGCCAGTAAAGGTGAGGATGCGGACAGGGCATTACTCCCAGAACAGACACCATTTTACAAAGAACTGGTAATCTAGCTTGACTCAGTCTTCTTCCCTCATCACAATCTATTAGAAATGTGATAATTAACATGAATTTTACAGGCTGCTGTCGCTGTTCAATCAGGTGTTTGTGTTGATCTATTTGCCATTACAAATGAGTACACAGATTTGGCATCCCTCAAGTTTCTTAGTATTGAGAGTGGAGGTTCCCTGTTTCTCTATGCAAGCACTGATGACTCAACGCTGCCTCAGGATATGTGAGTCCCAAAGTGGCTAAGCCAGAGTAATTGTGTGTTTCGTCTTTAACTATCCAACCATCTCACTTTCTCTTGATCTTTCACTGGCAGGTACCGTATGCTAAGTAGACCGTATGCATTTGGTTGTGTGCTGAGATTAAGAACATCTTCAGAATTCAAAATTGGTCATTCTGTAAGTTCTTTTCAGTTCCATTTGAAAATTGGTCATTCTGTAAGCTGTTTTTAGTCCTATGTGACAACTGATGTCAGTAAGTCCTATACTCTTATTCATTTTCTATTTATTTGCAGTATGGACATTTCTTCCCAGATCCCCAGTACGAAAATGTTCAGCACATCATATGCTGTGATTCTTATGCCACCTATGCTTACGATTTTGATTTTACAAGTGCAGTTGGATTTTCCAGGTGTGGCATAATATTCTATTTGCGAAAATGATACTGTATTCTCTATATTAAATGTCATGATTTCAAATTGATGCGCTGAATGAAATCATGAATTATAATACTAAAATTCTAGAGAAAACTTCTCATGCAATCAATATAGAGATAATGATGTGAACAGCTTCTGCAAGTACGAACTGAGACCTAATGTGATGTGGAAAGGGATAAGTAAACTTAGTTAAATGACTTCAACAGTAAGCTGCAAAGAAAGGAGACCTGAAATAGGATTTATAATCCAACAAGGTATAGGAAACTTGCTGGAAAATCTGTATGATGCCTCTTCAGAAATAGATACAATGGAGCACAGATGATCCAGGATAAGTACTATTGGTAGGGTTTTGTTTATGAGTCTAGGTGCTTAGTAAGATTCTGAAGGTCTGCTGTTGCATGAAAATGATAGACCCCTGGATACTGAGTGCTAACTATCAGTATCTTTTTTGCTTTCTTTTCTCTTTTCATGTTTTGCAGTCTGTCAAATTGTTTGCTACAAATTGTAACTGTATTTGCCACCAATGGTTGTAATGCATTCTTCTTCTTCCCAGATACGCATCAGAGCAACCTGTGGTTCAGATTGCATTCCAGTACACAGTTGTAGTACCTTCTGAAGAACTAGCTAGCTCAGGGGTGGGTTCCACAAGTAGGTACGGTGTATCTAATTACTGTTGGTATCAGTTCTCCAATATGATTGCGAATATGTAGTAAAAGCTGTCGAAATAGTTGCTTCCATGTATTTGCAAGTGAGATGGCAACTAAGCCATCCTTTAATGCTGGAATGGTGAGAGTGATTAGCATTTCAGCCAAGTTACTATTTCTAGTCTTCACCTTCTGGTTGAGTTACCTATCACTTACATGCTCATACAGGGGCAAGCATTTTCTTAAAAGGAGAATAAGGATCCGAACTTTGCAATTCGGAGCAGCTCGAAATGTTAATGAACTATACGACAGCGTTGATCCTGAAGCTGTCCTATCAGTTCTTGTTCACAAGGTGCTTTTTGGCTTGCTTTCTCTTATCTCTTTGATATCGCAAACAAGACCTGCTCTCAACTTTAATTTGAGCTTTTTTATTATTACTATGTAGGTTATACTAGAATCTTTAGACCAGGGTGTTCGGGAGGGGAGGATGTTGCTTCACGATTGGCTTGTCATCCTAACTGCTCAATACAATGATGCTTACAAAATTGTCCAGTATAAGAACGGAAGTGCTGCAAGTTCTCAGGTAGATGTTGCATTCTCGCAATGCCCACAGCTGCAGCCCCTACCTCGCTTAGTTTTTGCTTTGCTCCGAAATCCTCTTCTCCTTTTCCATGAGGAAGGTGTCCACCCTGATTATCGGATTTATCTCCAATGCCTCTTCAGGTAAGCCATCATTCCATACTTGATATCTGCTGTACGTAGAGATGTTGTGCATTTCAGGATTCTTGTTTTGGCTTATTGTACGTTATTGCCCCCAAAAATTTCTTATTGTTGGGAAAAGTTCTGGCTATTGATTCATCTTAAAAATTTTATGCTGCAGTGCACTGGAAGCAAGTTCTCTTCACCGAGCCGTATATCCAGTGTTGTCATCATATTCTACACCAGACAAACAAGCATATCCGCGCCACACATTGAGTCGTGCTGCACTGATCACTAGCGGCAGTCCAATTTTCTTCCTCGATGCATTCACAACTCTAATCGTTTTCTACTCTTCCACAGCAGACCCATCGCTTCCTTTCCCGCCTCCACAGGATTGTAAGACCATTGGAAGCTCTTCTGGTTTCAATTTAACCATCTTTCGACACATTTGACAACCAAAACAAAATTCCAATTTTGATTTCTTCAGGCTTGTTGAGGAGCACGATAAACAAATTGAAGCAAGAAAGGAGCATCACCCCCAAACTGATATTCATTCGAGGAGGGCAGGAAGATGCTTCCGCTTTCGAGAACTATCTCATCGAGGAGCAGGATGTCGATGGCAGTGGCTTCACGAGCGTCATGGGTTTCGTTTCGTTCCTCGAAGATGTCACCCAGAGCGTGCTGGAGTACATGAAATAGAGTCGTCCATCCCCATCCCCGATCATCAGAACCTCGCCCCAGAAATTACCTGAAAACCGGATAAGGACACTTCTCGTGAGGAAAGGAAGCTACATTGGTGCAAGGAACTTCCATTCTTTCTGCATTGGGGTTCCGATCAGCCTCTCTGAGAATGAAAATTTTGAACCCTTGGAGAATCAAGTGCTGCTGGGATACACCGAGAGCAGAACAATGGAGAATGAATTCTTCTTTTTGTAAATTAGGGGACATTACAGGGACCTCTGTACTCCAGAATTTTGTACCAAATGATGAGCTCACTGCCTCCTTTTTCTGCAGAATTTGTGAAGATTTCTTGTTCCCATTTGATTCATGGGATAAAATGGGTTTTACTAAGATATAGAATTAGGTGTCCTCACTGTATTTTTGTCCCCTTTTTAATGGGGCTACAACTGTCTTTTTTCTGTTCTAGGTTTCAAATTGCTGTAGTAGCGGCTGAGAATTGGTTTTACAATCGCATCGATATGAATGCTGTAAGATTTTACGACTTCTAATTATACGGAGAAGTCATGAAAGTCTAATAGTACGGAGAAGTCATACAAGAGTCAAGACAACAATACTAATGAATGTTCTTTCTTGAAGTAGATAAAAATTAGGTATGATAACTACCAAAATCGAAGAAGTTTGTCGGTTTGTAATCACTAGGAGAAACTATTAAGGCTTCTTAATGGTTAGCTGAATAATCGAATCCATTTTAACAACCTTTTATTTGCAATGGAGCATAACATTTTATGGTCATAATTGATTGAGATAATTAATAAAAATATATATATTAATCGTTCATTTATATTTCTCATATTACATTTGTGGATTGATTGTAATATTTCAATGAGTGATTAATGAACAATTGAAAATATGAAAAAAATTCATGAAGCTTGTGTTAGGTAACGACCAATTATCCTATTTGTGATATACTAAACTGGCAATTCAGATTAAGCATTTTGACAAACAACACAATAAAAAAAACTGAAGATAATTTTGTAAATATATATATTTTTCACGTTAACTGGATGAGGTTCAGATGTAAAATGACATTTTTTATCCCTCCATTCATTCTTACTGAACCCACGCAAAATTAGGGCGACAACACGAAATCCTCTTCAAATCGAAGAAGAAAACTCTCTCTTCTCTCGTTTCGTTTCAATCGTTACACTCCAATTTCGCTTCCATTCCCTTCCCTTTCGCTGTCCTGCAAAGCTCCGGGCTTTACCATCTTCTTCTCTACATCTTCTGGTACTCTCTCTTTCTCCCTATCTCTCTTCCGCTCTCTGATTTCTCTCCTTTATCATTTCCCCAATTTGATATTTTGCCGGCCTCTCCATTCTTCTGTTAATTTAGCGCGATTTTGTTCCATTGTTTAAATGGGTGATTCGAGAATCGAATTCCTAGCCCGAAAACTTGGGTCGAATGCTTGCATGAAATCGTTCCCGCTCGCGGGCAATTCGTGAATAAAAATCTGGAAGATTTCAAAGGACTTAGGCGCTAGTTTTGGCCTCCCTCCCTCCGCCATAACTGTAACTTGTAAATTTGTTAATGATATCTGGCCAAGAAATCGCAATGCCGCTAATGAATGGAGTAGAGTTAACTGGACCTTAAAAATGAAAACTTTGCTCTTTGTTCCTTCCGGGTTTTTCCTGGCCGTGGAGTATTTGTAGGGCTCAGCTGGTTCTTAGTTCTTGTACCCAGTGTCGTTTTTGGGTGCTTATTATTAAGCATTGCTGTCATTGGGATGTTTCTGTGTGATTTGGTGAACAAGGTAGCTGTTCATATAATAGGTGGATTGGATATGGGTTCCTGTGTTTGATGTCTTAAGTTCATGGCTGGTAGTTACATTGAAGGGGAACACAAGGAGAGCCTGGGGGAAACAATACAGTGAAACGATATACCTAGGATGAAAAGAAGCCCTGATTAGGTTTGGCTTTTTGTGGGAGTATGCAGAGGATGATGGTAGCACTACGTTTCTTCACTGGTTTTATACTTGTTGATTGAGTAAACCATGTTAGGATGGTGTGTTGGAGGGTAATACTAGGATAGTAGAAAAGTAAAGTGAAGTCTCTAAGCTGAATCCAAAGAGGCAGAACTACTTGATGAAGCTAGAATATTTATGTAAACAGGTTCGGAAAAATGAGCTTCGTATAGAATGTATTGTCATTCACCAATACTCTTGACTCCGAATAATCATTATTTGCTTAGAGGCTAGCGTAACTTGTATGTTTTAACTTGGTTATTTTTGGATGGCAATTAGAACGGTTCACTTTCTATCACTTAGAATGTAATTGAACAATGCTAATATTTATATCTCACTCCTTAATCCTATTGAAAGATTAGTTATTTTTCACCATGGCGGAAGCAGTGAATGTTATGTTAGTTCACATGGTTCATGACATGAAAAAATAATCTTTGAGTTACATATATACAATCTTTGCTTTATGGTTTCACCTTTTGGCTGTGCTAGAAATTATGGTGCTGTGATTGAATGACGGATATCGGTTTAGTCAGACTGTTTTGTGGACCTGTGGTTTGACTCTCCTTTTGTGCATCTCTCCTACTCCTTTCTATTACAGCAATTGACTAGTAAAATGGTCAGACACTTTTCCAAAATTTTGATATGTCACTATACGCTTTATTATTATGCCTTAAATAATATATTTTGTTGTTGTAACGTGTACTTCAAGAGTTGCTATATGTTTTGTTATTCTATCTTATAGACCTGTTTAATGATTCAACTTGTTCCCTTTTTGGGCAGTGTTCATGTTCGGATTTCAAGAAATACATTTTCTTGATGTCTTTCCCCTCCTTCATAACCCTTATAATCATTATTCTGAAATCTCTTTTGCCTATCTCTATAAGTACCATGAGTAATGTTATCATGATTCCTTCTGTAGACTTGATTTACATTGCAACCAACCCAAGTCTTTTCTCTCATGCTCAATTGAAAATCATACACTCTGAAAGCCTTTTTCCCTTTCATTTCCTTTCCTCCTATCAATATGTGTATGATTCTTCCCATGAACTCTTCTCGCCTATGTACCTTCTTCACAGTTCCCTTCCAAGCTTGCCTATTTTAAAAATATAAGATGCCAACTGAGGGGGGCAATGCATCAGCAGTTCCGAACCAAGGAGAACCCATCGACTCTGATGAGAGAATTGATCTAAATGAAGACAATGATCCTGAGGAGGCTATGGATGAAGAGGTTGAATATGAGGAAGTTGAGGAAGAAGAAGAAGTGGAAGAATACGTAGAGGAGGAAATAGAGGTGGAAGAGGAAGGAGAAGAATCAGACAATGATAACAATGATATTACTAATCATGGTGGTGGGACAAGAAGTGAATATGACGATGAGAAGAAAAAGCATGATGAACTTCTTGCCCTCCCTCCTCATGGTTCTGAAGTATACATTGGAGGCATTCCTCATGATACCACACAGGAGGAATTGAGAGGTTTTTGTGAATCTGTAGGAGATGTTCACGAGGTGAGCATGAAGATTTCTGATTCACTTCATATTGTGAGGATAAAAAGATTTTGACCATCTCCTTTTTGTGATTATACAGGTACGCATGATGAAGGGAAAGAATTTAACTGACAGTAAGATTTTTGCCTTTGTGACCTTTACAAGTGTGGACTTGGCATCAAAAGCCATCAAGGAGCTGAATAATTCTGAATTCAAGGTGCAGGTCCTTAATATTTATGATCCTAACTAACGTTGGCATCTGAATATTTGTGAATAATGCTACTTTTATCTGAAGGAAGCATTTATAACCAAAGTAACTTAGACCCCACGTGTTGTGTGTCGTATACAGCTAGCTGGATTGTTTTCTAAATATCAGATTTTGGCATTTAACATTTGAGCCATTCATTCTTTATTTTTCACTTCTATTCTTTTGGTTGTCATGCCTAATTACCCTGATTATAAAAATAATCCATTCACTGGATGCTTACACTCTTTTCGCCCCTCACTCAATTAGGGTTCAAAACTCAAGTGTTCCACATCTCAAGCTAAGCACCGATTGTTCCTTGGAAACATTCCTAGGAGTTGGGGAGAAGAGGAGTTGAGGAAGGCTGTGACAGAGGTTGGGCCTGGAGTTAATGCCATTCAACTGGTGAAGGTTAGTGTCATTCAGGATTTCAATTGGAGTAGCTAGCTCTTTGGCTCTACTATTAGTTTAACTTTTGTGTAATATTGGGTTCCAGGATCCAAGGAACATCAGCAACAACAGAGGTTTTGGTTTCCTAGAGTACCATAACAATGCATGTGCTGAATATTCAAGGCAAAAGATGTCAGATCCAAAGTTTAAGCTAGGAGATAATACACCAACTGTGAGCTGGGCTGATTCTAGGAGCACTAATTCTGCAGCTGCGACTCAGGTTACGAAGGAACATTTTTATACCATTGTACTATGAATGTCATGGTTCGCATGATTAGTGCATTCAATTGTATGATTTTCCCTTGCGACTCTATAAAAGCTATTTGGTAGTCAACTCTAACTCAGTGCTCATCCTTTATCGTTGCAACTTTACTAGGACACCAGTATCATTGGCTGAATCAATGCTCTCGACTGTCAAGTTTTTCTGTTTCCAAGAACTACTTCCATGTTTTGTGAGACTTGCTGTCTGAGCTTAGTATTGGTCTAACATCAGGTTCTCTTCTCCAGGTTAAGGCATTGTATGTGAAGAATTTACCAAAAGATGTAACACAAGATCAGCTGAAGAACCTTTTTGACTGTCATGGACAAATCACAAAGGTGGTTTTGCCACCAGCCAAACTGGGACAGGAGAACAATAGAATTGGTTTTGTTCATTTTGCCGACAGGTCCAGTGCTATGAAAGCGCTGAACAGCACTGAAAAATATGAATTAAATGGTAATCATCTCTACTTAGATATGTTATCTAGAAGCAATCGAAGGTGGTAAAAGTAATCTTATGTTAATTTTGATTATCAGGCCAAACTTTGGAGTGCTCTCTTGCGAAACCACAGGCGGATCAGAAAGCTGTTGGTCTTTCAAACATTCAGAACCCTGGTATTCTTCCAAGTTTCCCACCCTATGCTGGTTATGGTTTGGGTGGGGCTGCTGCATATAGCCCTCTTGCCACAGGATATGGTGCTTCCCCCTTTGCGCAGGTCTGAATTTCTGCAATCTCATTGATTATGTTTTCTTATATAATGTTTCATGTACTAGTTGGTTCAGCTGTCACTATGGTTACAAACTGTTTTAATGGATCTTGAATCAGCTTCCTGTCTGATACATGTGCTCCAGTTAACCCAAATAACAGCTTTAAGCATTATAATTAATTATCTATTTGGCAAACCATTCCTGTTTTTCATTCACATGATGATGGTTTGTACTTTATGCAGCCGTTGTATTATGGCGGTGCACCATCTCCTCCTGGCATGGCAATGATGCCAATGCTCCTACCTGATGGCCAAATTGGATATATTCTGTAATCCCCATCTACTCTGTCCACTTCCCACCTGAACAGTTTTCTTCTAGATACCCTAAAATTCAACTTTGTCTGAGTTGAGATTTCTTCTTTGCATAGGCAACAGCCGGGCTTACAGCACCATCATATGACGCCTTCACATCTGGCGATGAATAGTAGAAGTAGCAGCAGCAGTGGCGGCAGGGGGAATAGAAGTGGTGGTGGTGGTAATCCCAGTCGGGATAAGCATAGCAATGATGGCAGCAGCTACAGTCGCAGATTTCGACCTTACTGACTTCTAGTGTTGTTTTTCCTTTGCATCACATCCTCCTCTTGTGCCGTTTTACAGTTTTCAACAAATTAGAGTTAGAGCCCTAGCCTTTCTGTTTTTTTTGGCTAGCACAATCAAAGCTCAGGTTTTATCTATGTTGCTGAGTTGTTTGTACGTGCTTGATAACTTATATGCCCCATTTCTTGGTGGGTTAATACCCCAGTTTGGCCCGAAGTTTAGTGTTAATGACTGTTCTGGCCCCATTTTTCAAATAAGACATTTATGGCCTACTTTTAAAACTATTGGACAAATTTGACCCAAAATTTTCGTTGACCGTTAATATTGACAGTCAAACACTATTCCGTTAGTGACTCAGCAAAAAAAACTGCTAACGTGTCATTAACTAATATTTTTTTAATTTTATAATTCAATTAAAATAAAAATTAAAGAAAAATAATAAAGAAATCCCTCGACAGCATTTGGGAATTGGACCTCCCTTCCTAACCCTAAATGGAATTTCTTCCCAGACTCCTCTCCATTTGCGACCTCTCTTTTCCGTTAGAAAAGCGGCGGATAGTAGACAAAAACTCGAGTCTTCCCAACCTCCCCTGCCACTCGAGGCATCCCTTCTCCGGCGAAAAATTGACGACAACTCACTGGTGCTCCAAACTCGCGGAATCCCTCGTTCCCGCCGCCTCAACCTCTACTTGTCTTCCTTCGTCTTCTCCCACCTCAGCGAAACGCCACAACCACTCACAGCTACCGCTCGCCTCCTATCTGGGGTTGGGGTTTCTATTTTCGTTGTGGTTTTGGGATTTGGGATGGGTTTCTGGAGATGGTATTTGAGATGGGTTTGTTGTAGGTGACGACGCTAGAAGCGGCGAGGAGGAGGAAGATGTGTTGTCGGCTGCGGAGGTGAGGAAGAAGATGGGCTTGGGGTTTGGGGTTTTTTCTGGATTTGGGTTTGGAAGTTTCTGGATTTGGGGTTGGGGTTTGTCGCCAATTCCCAACTACTAAGGGGATTTTTGTTTTAACTTTAATTTCAATTAAATTAGAAAAATATTAGTTAATGATGTGGCGCCCATGCATCAGCCACATCAGCTGTTTTTTCTGATTCAATAACGGAATAGTGTTTGACCGTTAATATTAACGGTCAAAGAAAATTTTAGGCCAAATTTGTCCAATAGTTTCAAAAGTAGGCCATAAATGTATTATTTGAAAAATGAGGCCAGAAACGTCACTTACGCTAAATTTCGGGCCAAACTAGGGTATTAACCCTTTCTTGGTTCATTCAATGCTTCCAGTGACTTTTCTACTGCCCCCAGAAGCTGTACTTAGTCATTTGAAATTCGAATGTAATGCAATGTTAAAATTGGATTGAAATTCTACTGCACTTGTATTGGAACCAAAGAAAAGATTCCTTGATTCCTTCCTATCTCGTTGAAAGCAATAAACAGCACCTACAACTTCCTCGATCTCGAGAACACGTTATCAGATTCAATGAACAGACATCTTCAAGCATAACAGCAAGTAATGTGCAGTAAAACTTGCACTAGTCATAATTACTCATTACCATCATCAGAAGCATTATTATCATCGTTGGTATTCTCTTCCCCTTGTTCGTTGGTTTGATTTGCAGCTTTCTCTGATGGCATTTCATCCTCAGCTTTCCTCTTCTTCTTTGCTTCCTGTTTCTTTGTTGCTGCAGCTGCCCTTTTACCCTTACTCTTCTTCTTGAACTCTGGAAAGAAGGATTAAACCCAGAATTCATCACTTTTAAACCCTATAATTATTGGCCTGTAGTTCAAGGATGGAATACACGTACAATCTCTTCAATATTTGGTATGAGGCTGAGCTATTTGTTAAAAAGTCCCAAAGAAATTACTTTTGTTTCCCATGAGACTTTCACCGTATAAGCATCGTCACTGCTCAGTCATTGCCTTCAATTCCCTTTCTTTCTCCTCTTCTTCCAGATCGCGCCTCGGAGGAAATTATGCTGCAAGTTGCAACTTGTCCCTTTCTATACCTGCTGGTTGATAACTACGCACTGATGATTTCAACGGATTAGTTCAATGAAGAAACCAGCACGACAAAAACTAGCAAACAGTCAAACACCTCGCACGTACTCGAAGCTGCCCAGAAATCGCCACCAGAGGATTTCCCGCCGCCGCCATCTCTTTCTCTCGTCCCCCGTCGTTCGCCCATAAAACCCCGCCGACCCTTTGACCATTCCTTCCACGCTACTCTTCCTGACTTCCTGTCCAAACAAAAAACCACACGTCAAAGCCCCACAAAACCAAACTGAAGCTTATTCCACCATCGATTCTTCATCCTTATCGCCAATTCGCCATCGTCAGATTCCGTCTTTTTATCTCCCCAAATTCCCTGGAAAACTAGAACCCTCTTTCCATCAAAGCCTTTTCGCCAAAACCCAAGTATAAAAATCCTTCCTTTCTCTTAATTCCCCAATTCTCAGCTTTCCCAAATTTCCCGAATGTCGTCTTACGGCCGATCGTACTCTTCCGAGTCCTACGCGCCGTCGGCGCCTTCCCTGCCGGAATCCTACCGCCAGCAAGAACGAGATCGCGGCGCAAGCGGTAGCGCTCGGCCGCAATCGAGTGGCTATGGAGTTCACCAGAATCAGCAGTATCAGCAGCACCCGCCGGCGTATGGGCAGGGGCAGAGCAGTTCTTCATCGGGGTACTCGGGATTCCCGCCGGGGACGCATCCGGATGTGATTCGGAGCTTTGAGATGGTGGATGTTGATCGGAGTGGGTATATTGATGAGAAGGAGCTGCAACGAGCTCTCTCTTCTGGGTATCAGAGGTTTAACCTCAGGACAATTAGGTTGCTCATGTTTCTCTTCAAGAACCCCCACGATGCTCTTCGAATTGGTATGTTAGCCCTTCTTTTGCAACTTTGGGAGTAACTGATTTTCTCTAAAGTTCCACCTTTACTAGTTTCCAACTTGTTCTTCTGCTTTGCATCTTCAATTTGTTAACCTCCATCGAACTTTTGAAAATGTTGGCTGAATGGGGTTCTTGTGTGATTCAGGGCCTAAAGAATTTGCAGCTCTCTGGAGTTGTCTCGGCCAATGGCGGGTAACTACTCTTATTCCTGGTTTCCTGTTTACTTGCATTTGCTTCTTGATTTGTGAAAATCTGCTTTCTTCTTGCCTTCGCTAGTCTGCTGAATTTCTGCAATCAGTTCGATTGAGATGTTCTTGGCACTGTAAACTGAAATCTCGTGTATTGTTTACAGGCCATATATGATAGATACGATAGGGACAGGAGTGGAAAGATTGATCTGTTCGAACTGAGGGATGCTCTTTACGGACTTGGATATGCTGTCCCACCTTCTGTTCTTCAGATACTCATGTCCAAGTATGATGATGGAAGCGGCAGAAAGATCGAACTTGGCTTCGATAGTTTCGTCGAGTAAGTTCTCCTGCTCTTAATCAAAGTGCCAGTTCTTGAACATTTTCCTGCCGTGATTTATCAGACTCAGAGATCTAATTCGTCTTCATTTTCTTCTTCTGGTTCAACTTGCAGATGTGGACTGATTTTGAAGGGATTAACAGAAAAGTTCAAGGAGAAGGATAAGCGATACGTAGGCCAAGCGACGTTCAACTATGACGAGTTCATGTCCACTGTCCTCCCCTTCCTGGTGGCATATGATTGATCCTGAAACCCTCCAACGACGAGTCGCCAGCCCATTGCGGTATTCAATTTGTTTGTTTGTTCATGTATATGTAGAATATAGTGTATGTATAGATTCGATCTTTACGAGGTGGATATGTAAAATTGAGAAGGAACTTAGTATTCAAACATTCTTCTCTGTACATACAGCTTGGCTTGAATAAAATGTGATTGATCTTTCCATGGCTGGATAAGCATTTTACAGTAACATTCAACTAGGCAATAGCCAAACATGGACTGTGTAATTGCTGGAATATCTTGATTGTATTAGATATCAGAGAAGTGTTTTATACACACTTTACAACAGAAAGCTATCCCACGTAGCTACAAGAGGGGAAACTAACTAACCACTAAGTACATGACTTAATATAGTAATAAGGTAATTAAGAATAATTAAGAACTATCCTTATCACGCCCCCGCAAGATGGAGGAGGGTACGACGCCAATCTTGGAGCGAAGTAGCTGATAACGAGTGATGGGGAGCGGCTTTGTTAACGAGTCTGCGAGCTGATGGGCTGTAGGAATGTGGCGGATGTGGAGGGCCGAGGACTGGACAAGCTCGCGGACAAAGAGATAATCAAGAGCCAAGTGTTTCATGCGCGAGTGGTGAATAGGGTTGGCAGAGAAGTTGACCGCGCCGAGGTTGTCGCAGTAGAGGACTGGTGGACGAGAAACGGGACGATGAAGCTCCTGAAGTAGATTTTGAATCCATAAAAGCTCAGATGTAGCATGAGCGAGAGAACGATACTCAGCCTCCATACTAGAGCGTGCCACTGAACGTTGCTTTTTAGACTTCCAAGAGATAAGATTGCCACCAAAGTAAATGAGATACCCCATAGTGGACGTGCGATCATCCGGATCGCCCGCCCAATCAGAGTCGGCGAAGGCGACAAGGGTGGGCGAATCAATCGGACAGAGACGAAGGCCAAGAGAAGATGTACCACGGAGATAGCGAAGCAGCCGCTTGACATGTTGCCAGTGGAGCTGAGTGGGAGCATGCATAAACTGGGAGAGTTTGTTGACTGCAAAGGCGATGTCGGGGCGGGTGCACAAGAGATACTGTAGTGAACCAAGAGCCTGCTTGTAGAGAGTAGGATCTGCCGGGGGAGACCCATCAGTAAGCTGAAGCTTGGCGGCGGACGATAAAGGAGTGGGAGCAGGATGAGAGTCGGCCATACCAAAGCGCTGTAAGAGATCCATAACATACTTCTGTTGAGATAGCAAATACCCATCGGCGGAGGGAAGAACCTCGATACCCAAAAAATAGCTGACAGGGCCGAGGCTTTTGAGAGAGAACCGTGCAGCAAGTCGTTGTTGAAAATGAGCTAGAGAGGAACCATTATTACCGGTGAGCAGAAGATCGTCAACATAGACTAGAAAATACATGGTGACCCCCTCGTTGTGGTAGATGAATAAAGAGGCATCGGATTTGGACTTGACAAAGCCTTCTTGTTCAAGAAAACCAGACAACGACACATACCAGGACCGGGGAGCCTGACGAAGCCCATAGATGGCACGAGAGAGACAACACACATGATCAGGATAGGCAGGGTCACGGAACCCCGGTGGCTGTTCCATGTAAACAGTTTCATCAAGAGAGCCCTGCAGAAATGCGTTATTAACATCAAACTGTAAGATGGGCCATTGTTGAGAAAGAGCAATGCTGAACACAGTGCGAATGGTGACCGGCTTGAGGACCGGGCTATAAGTATCATGAAAATCAATGCCAGGGCGCTGGGTGAAGCCCTTGGCAACCAACCGAGCCTTGAATCGATCCACCGAGCCATCCGGGTTCCATTTGATGCGGAAAATCCACCGACAATCGACGATGTTGCAGGAGAGAGGACGCGGAACGAGTGTCCAGGTATGGTTGGAGAGGAGAGCACGAAACTCAGCCCACATCGCCGCCGTCCAACGAGGGTCTTTGAGAGCTTGCTTGACGGTATTGGGCACGGCAGGATGAGTAACCTGTGAGACAAATAACTTCTTTGGGCAGAAAATCCCATGCTGGCTGCGGGTGATGGGACGGCGAGGAGCCTTGGCTGGCGGTGGAGGTGGGCGATCTTGATGCGAAGAAGTAGCAGCAGGGGACACACCGGAGGCAGAGGTACCGGAGCGACTATGAGCAGGCGAAGAGGCCGGTGGCGACGCAGGCGGCAGCGGGGCTGGCGGGGCAGTGGGTGTAGAGGGAAGGTGGAGTATGGTAACAGGTGGGGTAGTGATGGAAATCCAGGAGGGAGGGTCATAGGAAGCAGGCGAGGGTGAAGAGAGTCCCGGAAAAAGGGATTCTTCAAATAAAACATGGCGTGAGACAAAAACTCTATGAGAAGTTGGGTCATAACATTTATATGCACTTTGTGTGAGGGAGTAGCCAAGAAAAATACAACGACGGGATCGGGGAGATAATTTGTTGGCAGAATAAGGACGGAGCCAAGGGTAGCAGACACAGCCAAAGACACGGAGTTTGAGGTAATTGGGTGGTTCATTAAACAGGGAAAAATATGGGGTAAGGCCACGAAGAGCGGTCGAGGGGAGACGATTGATAAGATAGGTAGCGGTTTGAAAGGCATGAGACCAAAAACAGAGTGGAAGATTAGCTGTGTGAAGAAGAGCCAGACCAGTTTCAACAATATGCCTATGTTTACGTTCTGCAAGACCATTGTGTTGCGGAGTATGGGGTGGAGTTAAAAGGTGGGTAATGCCACGAGTTTGAAGGAACGAACACAGCTTTTGAAACTCACCACCACCATCACTATAAACACGTCGAATGGTGGTGTTGAAATAATTTTCAACCAATGTCGTATAGGTGGTAAAAAGGGCATGCACATCAGATTTGCGAGACATAGGATATAGCCACGTATAACGAGTGAAATGATCAACAATTACCAAATAGTAGGAAAAATGATCATGTGAAACAATAGGCGAAGGCCCCCAAACATCCATGTATAACAAATCAAATGGTCTGGTACTGGAGAGGCTATAAATGGAAAACGGTAGTTTGTGACTTTTGTGAAGGGAACAAGATTCACAAGAAGTATGTGAGGACAAAGAGGTGACAGGGAGAGATTGTTTACGAATAACACGAGAGAGAAGCTTGAGGTGAGGGTGGCCCAGCCGTTTATGCCAGAGTGCAGAGGATGCCCGCGTCGCAGTCAAGGCCAGCCGAATGGGTTGGGACTCCTGCGGTAGCTCATAGACGTCACCGTTATTCTGGCCTCGTAACAGGTGCGCCCCCGTGGCTAGATCCTTCACAACAAAGAAATCAGAAAAGAATTCCACCGACACCGGATTAGTCTTACATAATTGGGCAACAGAGAGTAGACGCCGCTTGATAGCAGGCACACATAAGACATTGTGAAGATCCAAACGTGCATGAGAGGAAGACAAATGGGATTGCCCAATGTGAGAAATAGTCAAACCTGACCCATCGCCGATAAGCACCTCATCAGGACCAGCATAATCAGAATATAGAGAGAGATGACCAAGATCAGGGGTCATATGATTGGTAGCCGCCGAATCAACCAGCCACCCGGAATTGGAGGAGGACGAGACATCAGTATGGTGCATTTGGGGGCGACCACGAATGCGAAAGCAGTCTTTCGCAGAGTGACCGACCTTGTCGCAAAATTGACAGAGCAGCTGTGGCCGGCCAAGAATAGAGGAAGCAGGCGGGCTTGAAGAGTATCCATGGGGCGAACGAGGGGAATAGTTTCCACGAGGGGAGCGTGGGCTGGACTCCCGGCGGGAATTGGTGTCGGCGCCATAGTAGGGAGGCGGAGGAGAGCCGCGATGATGACGACCAGGATGGCGAGAAGAAGGATGCAGGGATCGGCCACGAGCAGAAGAAAAGGCAGTCGTGGGAGCAGCAGACTGAGGGAGGCGAGCCAGATCAGCCTCGTAATCAACGAGGCGATCATGAAGGTCTTCGAGCTGAATGGTCGTATCCCGGGCACGAATGGCGGCAGCAAGCTGACCGAATTCCTCGCGCAAGCCCCGCAGAATGTGAAGGATTAAATCTTCCGGAGCAACAGGAGCATTGACAAGGGCGAGTTCCGCAGCGGTGGTGCGCATCGCTTGGAGGTAAATGGAAACCGGACGAGTGCCTTGCTTCTCTTGGCTGAGTTTGTCTTTGAGATTGATCACTCGTTGTCGAGACTGACTGGCGAACATCCGCTCCAGGATCAGCCAGGCTTGGCGAGAGGTTGGGGCAGCAGAGACATAAGGAGCAACCGCCGGGGACACAGAGGCAAGAATAGCATGGAGGAGGAGCTGGTCTTGCCGGAACCAGTGAGTGCGGACAGCAGTGGATTCAGCGGCAGCGGGTTCAGGAAGCGAGCCGTCAAGGAACTTGAGAAGGTCGAGACCACGGAGAAGGGTGAAAAGTTGGGCCCGCCAGGTGGGGAAGTTGTCGCCGGACAGCTTGGTGGGGAGTTGGGATGCTGGGTTCAGCGTGATGATTTGATTGGGATCATTGATATTGATCACGGATTCGCCGGAATTGCCTGCCATGGTGAAACGAGAAGAAGGCTGGGCAAAGAATGGTGCTGTGTGTTTTTGAAAAAAGGAAGAAGAGAAACAGAAAGAAGAAAGGAGACGTGATTTGTGGTAGATTTAGGGTTAAGGAGATCAGAACCGATGCTCTGATACCATGTAATTGCTGGAATATCTTGATTGTATTAGATATCAGAGAAGTGTTTTATACACACTTTACAACAGAAAGCTATCCCACGTAGCTACAAGAGGGGAAACTAACTAACCACTAAGTACATGACTTAATATAGTAATAAGGTAATTAAGAATAATTAAGAACTATCCTTATCAGACTGTTCGACATTACAAGTTTTGACGACGGACCAATGACCTAAAATCTCCATGCCCTGTAATTGCTTGTGGAAAACTCTCAAGGGAACTTCGGCTGTGACGGATTGGTTGGTGGCCGACGGACAGGCCTAATGGGGGATTTCGTAAACCAAGTTGTGTACAGGAATTGCTTGTGAGGCCCGACGTGATTGCATATGAGCCTAATCTTTTGCCTCTCCCGCATCCATCTCAGTACGATCTTCATGTGCCTTTTCCCTGTTAACCCTTTTAAACCAACTTCCTGCAAAAACGTTGTAACCTGTCAGGTTGCTATTTTGCAGACCATGAAGGGAAAACCTCATAAAGCACAAACCTTTAAAGGTCTGAAAGAATTTGCTGTTCAATTGAAGCAAAGAAAACCAGACAACATAGACCCACCTGAATCTTATCCCAGGTTTCCGAAACAGTGAGAGGGCCGTGTTCTTTCACAACGTCGAAAATCGCTCTTGTGATGGTCTGTGTTTGCTCAGGTGGGTCCTTCAGCTCGATCGGTTTCATTTTAGGCTTTGGTTTGGTTGCAAAGAACCTAATGAAAGTTCCAAACACATTCTGCTTCATCATTCCCAAACAATTGCTCAAATCAGCTGTAAGCACACCAGAAAATCAGTCAGAGAATGCTTAATTGGTCTTGTATACTGTCTTCTCTTGAAAATAGATTCTCTAAAACTTTGAACAAGGAACAATAAACACACATCATCACAATTCACATCCTAGAATTACAATGAGCTCTACAGAAGTGCTGCTACTTGCAACAAGAACACAGAATTTCCTGCACCAAATGAAGCAGATGAACCAACTACAGTAACAAGTCCCCAGAAGCAAGATTCCGATCGACTGAAAACCAAGAGCGCCATCGCGCTCTAATTTTCAATACCCGTTTTATATACCGAGTGAGCGAAGAGAGCAGCTATATGGGTGATACGAGAAACATGGGCTTTGATCAACGACACAGTAAATCAACCAAGGAGGAGTCGACGAGTTTCGCAGCTCGATTCACCTATGCAAGTGAAGTAGCAGCGATACACCAAAATGTACGCTCACCTGGTCAATTTGTCGAACACTTGGTGGTCATACAGTTATGGGGTGGGTTTATGTGTCGGATGCCATTAAAAGATAGGAAAATGTACGCTAGACTCTGGGGTGGCCGGGGTGTGCCAGAGACGGCAACGCCGGCGATAATTGGGTGGTGAGGCGGCGGATTAGGAAGGAGAAGGATGTGTGATCTCGGAATGGGGAAAGTGGCGAGAGGAGACGAAGGTCCCTTGTTTTTTTTTTTTTTTTGGTTGGTTGGTTAGCGAGATGAGTGGAAATAGGGCACAATGGTCATCTGACTGAGTCACTGAATTATAGGTTGCATGCTGCAAAAATCTCAAAACTATTCATTTTTACCATTCTAGTCCCTCGTTAAAGGTTGTTAAATCGGTTTATACCACACCGATTTAACTAGTGATATAGTCCGATAACGATACAACTAGTTAATGTCGATTTTAATAAAATATGTAGGAAAATGGGCAACCATTAACACAAAATAAATCATAATGCATATATATATATACCGTATCTGCATACAATTTACATTCATATTTAAATAAAATACACATTAAGAATCAAATGAAAATTTCTCATATTTAAATCCTAACACAAAAAGTCAACATCCAACATTTATACTTGAATCTAACAAAACATTCATATTTAAAATCTTACATAGAAAAAAATCTTTATTTAAATAATATACAATATTACAAACAAAATTACAAATCTATCATATTTATATAGAATAAGTTTTTTTTGTTAATTAAATTCACCAAAATAAATTATTTTTTTAAAAGATCAAAGATCGGTCATACTCATATCATTGTTTTTTTTTCGAGTTTAAACTGACTTTTAATGCCACTTTATTTGAATGTTTTTGTATGTTTTGTGTTCAACACCAATGTGTTCAAAAGCAATTAAATTCGATTGAAACGATCAACATGATACTAGTTTAACAACCAAGTTTCATTTATTACATTTCCTAATCTCTTACTATATGAAATTAATCCAAAAATTACCCTAGTGATCATTCATCATAGTACATATGTTCTATGTTGTGACCTTCATAAAAGTTCTCGTTCTTATTTTTAATAATTTACATTTTATAACCATAAATAAGCCAATACCCAATCCCAATATCATATTTCTAGTGATTTCAACTCATCACTCCAAAATAAAAGAGGAATTAATAAAAACACTATATAGATGAATACTATGTTTTAATTTATCGTCTGTGATTATAATAGCTTCATTATATTGTTGTGGCAAATGACAATCTGTTCGGGTAAATTGCAAGATTGGTTACTGGGAATCTGGAATTACAAAAAAAGTTCATGTTAGGTCACTAGAAATATTTAATTCCACTCGTAGTCACTAGATTTAGTAAAACCGTCCAAGTTTGGTCACTCTCCGTTAGTCTCCGTCCGTCTCCATTAGTGAAAACCGTTATATGCTGACGTGGCAGACGGAATCGCTTAATCAGCCTAATTTAACCTGAAAATGATAAAATCCAACCTGCCACGTCAATTAAACTCACCATGTCATCTAACTCAGCCCAACCCAAGCTTTGAACCAGCCCGACCCATTAACCAACCTACTCAAACAAAATAGTGTCTAACCCATTTTCCTTTCATATCTGAAAACAATCTTCTCTCTGGTTCTGCATTTTTCTTTCGCTCCCTTCGACAACTAGCTCAGGATGGCACTTCACCTGGTCACCACAATAATCGCCGCCATGGAGAATAAATGATTGTTGTTATGGTGAAGCGACAGAGCATAACCATCGCCTACTGAGAGACAAAGAGGGGGGGGTTTAATGTTCATATAGAAAGAAAGCTAAGGAAAAGAGATGAGGAGGCAGGGGAGGCTTCTGTTATGTTATAATGAATGAGGGGCAGTGGAAAACTAGGGGGAGGGAAACCTTGTTGCAAAGGGATACGGGGAAAAGATTCAAAGAAAGGAGAAGAAGCAGAGAGGAGAATACCAAAAGGGAAGGGCTTTGGGGCAGGGACCAAAGGTACTTTCGCAGTCGTCGTTTCCTTCATTTTTCTCCGGCAGAGGCCCAAATCTGATAGCAACAGAGTCCCTGAATCATTTTCCCTCTGTTTTCCCTGTTGGGAGGGCAGAACTCCTCGAATCCCTCCAGCAAAGAGGAGAAAAATAGGGAGGTGAGAGGCGGCAAGTGCCAACTCCTCGATCTGGTTCCATACGGGAGTTCTTCATCTGGATTTCCGACGCCGTGAATGAATCTAGCGATGAAGGAGGAGGGAGTGAGATCGTTGATGCAGATTCGTGGAAGAGGAATAGAGTACCAGGTGGTGAAATATTCGAGTAAAACGCAAAGAAAAAGACACGGGACACAAGGTTTACGTGGTTCTTCTCATTCAGTGTGAATGAGCTTACTCCACGGAGAAGTTCTGCTATCTCAGCTTTTTCATTAGTAGTCGGCCGATTACAGATTACAAAGTATATATATGAGCTAAAACTCATCCCCGTACAAGTAACTAGGGTTTGCATGATGCAAGGGCCATAATTACGTGGGTAATGGGCTTTTACCCATTAGCCGCTACTAATGACATTTACGTCAATCACTACACTCCCCCACAAGCTGAGGCATGCAGGTTACAAATGCCCAGCTTGGAAAGAAGTGCCTGAAAACGATCACCAGCAAGCCCCTTGGTGAAGATGTCAGCCAGTTGATCAACAGTGGAAACTGGCTGAGGAAGAACTTCGCCAGAAGTGACGTGCTCGCGAACAAAATAACAGTCCATCTCAACGTGCTTCGTGCGCTCATGAAAGACAGGGTTAGCGGCAATGTGAACCGCAGCCTGATTATCACAACGAAGAACAGTCGGACCAGGAGTATAAACACCAAGATCACGAAGTAGAGCACGAAGCCAGAGCACTTCACTGACAGCACTAGCCATGGCTCGATACTCAGCCTCAGCCGAAGAACGCGCAACAACAGACTGTTTCTTGGTCCGCCAAGAAATGGGAGCAGCACCTAAGGTGACAAAGTACCTGTTGATATGACTTGAATCGGATTATCAGCCGCTACGACTGGTAATCGGGGGTCTGGGCCTGGTCTGTAACCGTTTCCTTTGCTAGATTGGATTAGGTTTAGACCCACATGGAGAAGTACTATAAATACTTCTCATACTCCTCTGTAATCTGTAATCTCCTCGATATAGTGAAACTGGCTCTCTCTCGCCCGTGGACTAGCTAACACACATCGTGTTAGTGAACCACGTAAATCGTGTGTCTGTGTTCTTTCGATTCTCGCTCTCGTATTCTTGCTTTGTCGATTCCGGCGATTTCCCGATCCGTAGCAGCGCGTTTATAACAGTACCCAGAAGTAGAACGGCGAGTAGTCTGACAACCTCCCCAATCGGCATCACAAAATGCGCGCAAAACCAAGTCAGTAGAAGCCGGAAGGAAAATCCCCTGACCAGGAGCAGCCTTCAGATATCGAAGGACACGTTCCGCACCAGCAAGGTGAGCAGGAGTGGGAGCATGGACAGAACGACTGAGGATGTTAACGGCGTAAACAATGTCTGGTCGGGTGACAGTGAGATACTGAAGGCGACCGATTAAACGACGATAGGCAGCTGCATCATCAACAGAAACAGTGGGGCTCGCAGAATCAGGAGGGCGCGTAAGCTGGTGATGCTGCTCAATGGGAAAGCGACTAGGACGGCTCCCAGAAAGACCACTATCGCGGAGGAGATCCAAAGTGTACTTCCGCTGACATAAAACAATACCCTGTTGTGATCTTGCCACCTCGATGCCAAGAAAATACTTCAAGGGACCCAAGTTTTTAATGCCAAACTTACTGTGGAGCGTGTCCTTAACTGACTGAATAAAATCGAGATCGTCCCCAGCCAAAATGACATCATCCACATAAATCAAAGCAACAACATACGTACCCCGATGACGCCGAGTGAACAGTGAATAATCGGCACGAGAACGTTGAAACCCAAGTGCAAGAAGAGTGGCAGCAAACTTCGCATACCAATTGCGAGATGCTTGCTTCAGACCATAGATGGATTTGTGGAGGCGACAAACCCGAGAATCCCCAGGCGCGGCAAAACCAGGCGGGATCTGCATGTAAACTTCTTCCTGCAGATCTCCGTGAAGGAAGGCGTTATCCACGTCCAGCTGATGAACAACCCAGCCGCGAGCAGCAGCGACGGAGAGCAAAGCACGAACGCTGACCAGCTTAGCAACGGGCGCGAAGGTATCATGGTAGTCGATTCCCTCAGTCTGAGTGAATCCTTTGGCGACAAGGCGAGCCTTGTATCGCTCAATGGTCCCATCGGCCTTATACTTAATTTTATAGACCCATCGACACGCCACAACCTTCTTCCCATGCGGCAACGAGACAAGTGACCAAGTGCCATTAGCGAGCAGGGCATCGATCTCGCGTTGCATGGCGGCGCGCCATGCTGGATCACGCATAGCCTCACGGAAATGGGCGGGTTCAAAATGGCTGGACACGGCAGCGAGGAAACTTCGATGATGGGGAGCCAAACCCTCATAATCAACATAGTGGCTCATAGGATATTGAACATTCGACGGGGGCAGATTAGTGTCATAATCGGCCAACTTTTGCGGAACGGCGCGACGCCTGTCACTACGACAAGGAACCGCAACCGGCTGAGCAGGAGAGGCGGAGGGAGTAGGCGCCGTGGGCGGAGTCGAGTCCTCAGAAGCAACTGACGGGGAGTCAAGTCCCGCGGGCTGTGAGTCAAGTTCCGCAGGCTGTACTTCAGCAGCCAAATCAACTTCTGCTTCAACTGCAGCAGGAGGTGCTGAAGGGATGGAGGGCCGAGCTTCAGGACCGGAGTCACGGAAGGGAAAAACGTCTTCCACAAATCGAACATCACGACTGGTGTAGAAAGTACGTGAGGCCAAGTCGTACAGGCGATATCCCTTCTGAAATGCCGGATATCCCATGAAAACCGAGCGGCGACCACGCTCGCCAAATTTGGATACCCCGTGATGAGTGTCTTTCCCATAAGCTAGGCACCCAAGCACACGGAGATGACTGTAAGAGGGAGTTTTGCGAAGCAAAACTTCATAAGGAGTCCGATTCTGAAGAACTCTCGAGGGCATGCGGTTGATCAAGTAGGTCGCAGTCAACACACATTCGCCCCAAAACCGCAAAGGAATATCAGTTTGAAATCGCAAGGCCCGGGCTGTCTCAAGCAAGTGTCTATGTTTACGCTCCACAACCCCGTTCTGTTGCGGAGTATCAGTACAGGAAGTACGGAGGATAATGCCACGGTCTTCATAGAAAACCCTCAAGCCTGCAGTTTGAAACTCCAGACCATTATCAGCCTGAATACAAGCAACCTGCTGCCCAAACTGCGTCCCAACCATATTAATAAACATCTTCAAATAACCTTCAACATCAGATTTATAACTCATCAAATAAACCCAAGTGGCTCGGCTGAAATCGTCCACTATGGTAAGAAAATAACGTGCTTTATCCGACGTAGGGACCTTGAAACTGCCCCAAATATCCACATGAATGATCTCAAAACAACGACTAGTCTTGATAGAATGCTTAGGAAAAGGAGACCGAGTTTGTTTAGCCCGGATACAAGAGTCACAAGTTTCAACTTGACATTTATTCGGAACAGCTAGAAAAGAACTCTTCTTCGGCGATGGATGCCCCAGTCTGGAATGCCACAGCTCCCCCATTCGAGAATCACCACTTGCTGCCATGACGTGAGATTCCTTGGCACCGAAAAGCCGAAGATAATAAAGCCCATCACGGAGTTGACCCGTCCCAATCATCTTCTTGGAGTGTGAGTCCTGAATGACGCAGAAATCCCGTAAAAATATCAATGCCACATCAAAATCCTGAGTTAGCCGACTGACGGACAAGAGATTGCACTTAAATAAGGGAATGCTCAAAACTCGACTGAGTTTCATCCCGTTCGACAAATTCAGATCACCAACATGCTTCACTGCCACACTATCTCCATTGGGAATGTTAACCGGCGAATATCCTGTCACCTCATGTAAATTCTCCAACAAAGATGCATCATGGGTTATATATTCATTACAACCAGAGTCTATAATCCACTCAGAAGTAGAAGAAAGCTTACCAGCCATGTTGACGTGTGATTCAAAAGGTCCATGGGATGCACCAGCAGCGCCAGTGCCATTTTGATTGATAAATTGGAGAAGTTGCTGAACCTGATCGGAGTTAAGACCAGGAATCGTGACACCAGGCGCAGCATTGGATTGAGCTGCACGAGGCTTCTCGGGACGCGAACCGCGCGGCCTGTCTTCACGATCACCTGAACGAGGGCGCCTTTCTGGGTAACCGATCAGTTGGAAACAAGTTTCCTTAGTGTGACCCAGTTTTTGGCAGTGGCTGCAACGAACTGCATTTTTGCGCTCTGGGCTCCCACTGCGATCATCTCGTCGACTGCGATCAGGTCTTTCATCCCGCCGACCACGATCAGTTTCATCACGGTCGCGCTTGGCCTGAAAAGCAGCGCCCTCCACGCTCGGTTTCCTGTTGGCAGCGATTTGCCTTTGTTGTTCCTCTGTAGCCACTAGCCGATAAGCTTCACTCAGCTTTGGCGTGGGTTTCATAGACAAAATCTGGGTCTTAACTGTTGCAAAGGCGTCACCCAATCCCATGAGAAAGTCAAACAAATGCTCATTCTCCAAATTGTCCATGACAATTCGCCCAACGTCACATGTACACAAGCCACATTTACAACGTGGAACGGGGGTGATTGCTTGCATCTCTTCCCAGATAGATCGAAGTTTAGTGAAGAAAGTGGAGACACTTAGCTTTTCCTGCCGAAGAAAACTCAAACTCTGGCGTAGCTCATAGGCGCGCGCGGCAGAGCCATGCCCAAAGCGAGCCTCAAGATCAACCCAAATTTCCCTAGCAGTTTTGGCATACCGGATCGAGCTTCTGACTTCCTTGTCCATCGCGGTTTTCAACCAGCCCTTAACTAGGGCATCACACTGAATCCAGGCATCCTGAACTGCGCCAGCCTCTTCCGGACGCACGATCGTGCCATCAACAATGCCAAGCTTATTCTTGGCAATTAGGGCTTCCGTCATATCGGTTGCCCATTCTCCATAATTAGAATCGTTTAGCAACTCGCCAACGAACATCTGACCTGGGTTATCCGAAGCCTGCATCCTCAACGCTGCGGGAATTGCCGGAGGGATCTGTCCTCCTCCGCTGCCGCCGCCAGCGTTGATCAAGATGCGGTTATCTCCCTCGGCCATTGCGGAAAAATCTGGTTCAACGAACCAGCTCTGATACCATGAAATATTCGAGTAAAACGCAAAGAAAAAGACACGGGACACAAGGTTTACGTGGTTCTTCTCATTCAGTGTGAATGAGCTTACTCCACGGAGAAGTTCTGCTATCTCAGCTTTTTCATTAGTAGTCGGCCGATTACAGATTACAAAGTATATATATGAGCTAAAACTCATCCCCGTACAAGTAACTAGGGTTTGCATGATGCATGGGCCATAATTACGTGGGTAATGGGCTTTGACCCATTAGCCGCTACTAATGACATTTACGTCAATCACTACAGGTGGCGATGATTTTGATGTATGCCAATCAAGTGAAGGGGAGGCCAAAACATGCATCTCATATGGGTGGAGAAGAAAGAGGAGAAGATGGACAGATGAGGAAGAAAGAGGAGAAGATCGAGAAGAAGCTTTGCATCAATGAGGGTTTTTCTTTTTGCTCTCTACATCAGAGAGGGGTTGAGAGAGGTCGAGGAAGATGGAGAGATGAGAATCCAAGTTGGGTTTTTCTTTTCATTTTTCATTTTTTTTAAATGATTAATAATAATCTGACAGGTCGGATTTAAATGACATGTCGGGTCAGACTTTATGACGTGGTGGGTTGAAATGGGGTAAATCAGTTTTTCTGTTAGCCACGTCAGCAATTAACTGATGGTGTTAATGGAGACTAACGGAGAGTGACCAAACTTGGATCGTTTTACTAAATCTAGTGACCACAAGTGGAATTAAATATTTCTAGTAACCAAACATGAACATTTTTTGTAATCCCAGTGACCAACCTTGCAATTAACCCCAATCTGTTCATCTTATCATTGTTCTATATGCACGATCTTCTCAAAAATTTCCGATCTTATTTCTAATAAAAAAATTTATGTCGATGAATACTCCAATACTCAATAACCTCCTTTTCAACTCATCACTCCAAAAATAGGAGAGCAGAATTATTGAAACACAATATAGTTGAATACTATGTTGTTAATTTGTCATTTGTGATTATAATAGCTTCATTCGTGTTGTTGTGTCAAATGACAATCTGTTCGTCCTATCATTGATTTCTAATAACATGCTTACATTATAGTAAGGAAACTTAACAAATTCGAAGGTGATTCTTATGAATGTAAAAATCAAATTCGATTAATCCTATGTGTGGCCAATAGAAAACATAAGAACATGTAAGCTTCAATTTCATAACACCCTTGAATTACACTTCTTTTCTCGGAAAAGCTGTCCAGTTCAGACAAGAAAGAACTGTAAATGTGCTTAACACCAATCATAGTGGCTTATCTTTCTGGTTTCACTAACCCTTTCTCCTTCACTCAAAATCACGGATCCAAGACGGGAGTTATCTGAAGTTGTGTATGAAGCTAACCAATGCTTTCATGGAGAGCCTAATGAAATCCCTTCATTAATCGATCAACAAAATCAAACATATAAAGAAAAAGGACAATACTTCCAGTTTCCCCCACCAACTATGGCCTCAAATCTTCTATAACTCTTCTCTTCTATAAGTCAAACCAAAAGAAACTATCAGTAAATAGTGCAAAAAGAAGAAGATCAAAACTTCCTAGTATGTTAGTGTTTTCTGGCAGTGTCTACGTTTTATTGAACTCTATTGCCTTTTTTTGTACAACATCCGGTGTATCTTTGGTCTATCTGTAAACCATAACTGTAAGTAAATGAAGAAAGCTCAAACTTCCATGTCTTTCCATTCCAATTCCTCCTCCTCACTGCAATAAAAGCAAAGAGAAACAGCAGAAACCCCAGGTTAGACCACACATTCATAAACCCAAACATGGCTACTGTACTGCCCCGTTTGGATTGTCTTCCTACACATTCCAAACTGTTAGATTGAACACGGTGTAACTTCTTTTGTAAATAGCACCACAACACTATCAAAGGTGCGTTAGCACCACACCGCAGTTGCATAGAACTAAGCAGGTTTCATGCTTAAACCACAACTTATAAAGCTGGAAAACCAAAAGATTATGCCAACTCAGAGAAAGTTGCAGGACAGTGAGATGCTGTAGAGTGGATGAGCAGTCACTTTTCGAGAGGAAGAATGGTGAAAAGCTTTCTGGGGGACCATATTATTATGTGTCAATTTTATCTTTCTACACATGTGTGTCTTGGGGTGGGGCATTAGTGATTTAAGCAAGGATGGTGCATTTGGAAATGTTAAAAATCAAGGGTGGAGATGGACAATGATGTTGAAAGGCACCAGTAGTCCCTCAATACATAATCGATCAAGAGCATCAAATTGATGTTACACACGTTTTCTGGACATCTATAATGAGAGCAACAAGAAAATATCTTAAACATGGTTTTTGGTGGTGGATAACCAGATACTATATATCCTATCGGTTCAAACCCACCAAACCTATCATATCATGATGCATGAGAAAAAAATAAGAAAGTGGGTGTTTACTATTTAAGCAAAGAAACAAAAGGAGTCTTGAAAGTCAACAAAGTCAGGTAATACCATACGCAAAGAAACATGCAGTAGGTCAGGTGACAAGCTGGCCTATGATTTTTGTATACAGGATTAATCTCTCTAATTTGGCTAGTTTAACATGAGATTGTACCAGCAGAACTAACCCTGAAACTTGAAAGTGATGTTTAGTAGCTCATGTATCATGTAGACAAAAGAAAAGACGAGAGAATCAAATTTGGAGACTTCCAGTATTCTGTAAAGAAATGTATGGAAAGTGATATGGTGGGGTGAGAAAAAGGGTGGCTAAAAGCGGCTGCTTTTCTTGCAAGGGTGATGGGTACTAACTTGGACTTTTGTGAAGCCGAAGACAGAATAGAATTTTCTACAGTTTGACATGCATGATTGCTAGTTGGCGATAAGGAAAGAGATGGAGACCCTATCAGGAACCATATCTTGTGGTTAAAACTTAAAATAACTGAAAGACAAACCAACTCCCAAGCTGCCCTTTCCTGGAATTAGACTGGTGAAATTTAGGTGCGACAGGTTCCTTATGAATATAGGTTCAACAGTATAACATGTCCATAAGATTACAAAACAAAGGTTGCGACTGAAATCTCACCTCAACCGACTTCACCTCTGGTCGTGTGGACTTTAGTTTTACTGATCTTCAAGTGTTTTCTGACCTCTCCCCCTTCTTTGTGTGCAAAAAAGTGCTCTCATAAACACATTAAATAGGCCACCAAAAATACTATCAGACTGAAAACTGGAGAACCCTGCAAAAAGACAATGTAAAGCAATTAACATCACTTGAACATTCTTCAAAAACTCAACTAAGAAAGTGTCAAAAGAGCATGGATGGCTTACATCACTCCCTGATGCAGAAGTATAAGCAATGTCAGTGCCTTCAGGAAGGTAAGCATGGAAGCCCATGTTATAAACCGGCGACCCATCTGGATAAAAGAGGCCATAGTTCCTCTCAGAAGTAGGACCAGGCTTTAAATCCTCATTGAACAATGCAAAAACGTGCACATCAATAGGCACAGACGGCTTAGCCGGGGTACCCTGCCTGGCCTGCACTCTCTTAAACAGATTGCCATTGTACAACCCAGCATTTTGTGGTGTAGCTCCAACTTCATCAGCATCGCCTTTCGACGGCCATCCAGTCTCCGACACTTTGACCTCGATGTTCGTATGCCCCATCGCCTTAATCGCAGAGTAGACCGCATCCACTTGAGCATACAACATGTTATCATAGTACAAGTTGGTGATAGGATCAGTCATCCCTGTGTTATTCGACCCGAAAAGGGCGTAGTCTAGAGACACCTCATCAGGGCTACCTTTGTAAGCAAAGAAAGGGTAAGCATTTATGAGAAAAGGGTAACCAGTCTGGGAGTGGAAACTCAGCAAAGGTTGAATCACTTCAGCTAGATCCGGCCTAAAGCTTCCAGCAGAAGGTGGGTAAGAAGTGGCTAAGATGTTGAGAGAATGCGCAGTTGTGACCGTGACTTGCTTATCTAGCCCGAGGTTCACGAGAGCTTTGTAGACTGATTGCATTGCTGGGACGAGATTGGTGAGCAGCTGAGTGTCGTTGCTGTTGTCCACCTCGTTACCAACTGTGATGCAGGTGATTTTGGTCCGCCCAATGTACGGCTTCACGTGGGTTTCGATCCAGGCCTGAGCTTTGGCAGCGTCGGGCACGCTCTGAATGTACTCGTTCCCCAAGCCGATGATGAACTCCACGTTTGTGTTGGCGAAGGCGAGCAGCACGTTCGGATCTGCGTCGTAGAGCTTCACCCTGCTGACGTTGAGCGATTGGAGGAGGCCAACGACACGGGATGGGGATGGAAGGTTGTTAGCGATCTGGCCGTAGTTGATTCCCATACCCGCGCCATGTGTTTGAAGAAATGCATCTGAGAAAGGGGAAAGTAAACAGAGATTGTAAGGTTGGAAACTTAAAATTAAAAAGCACATTATGCTGCTCCAATCCAAATTCCATGATATAGCAAGCACTGTATCGAACCAAGATGCTTTTTTTTTCAGCAGAAGATTCAGAAGCCATGGATAGCTTCAAATTCAATTCAATACAGTAACTTTGCTGAAATATTGGGGGAAGGGAAAAAAGCTGGAGACTTTCTGGTGCAAAGCCGAAAAAAGGAAGAACCCAATTGGGGAGGAAAGGAAGATTGACCAATTTCAATCCTTTTTTCTTGCCATTTCCAGACACCAACCTGAAAGAAGCAGAAACAGGGGAAGAGCTCTGAAAACAATGAGGGAACTGGAAGTTGAGCAAGCAGTGGGCGCCATGGTTGAGCTGATGATGGGGAGATTCCGGCGGGTGGAAGAAGCGGCGCCTGCTGCTACTGCCACCGCCACTGACCGCCGGAGGAGGCAGGGGCAATAGCAGGAGAGCGCTGTAAGTTGGGCCGGTGACCCTTTTTTTTTCCCCCTCTCTCTGGCGATTTACCAGGGAACAGCAATCGGTTTTGGGTTTGTTAGCCTCCAGGTTGGTATTTATAGTATCTTGTATGGATACAAAAAGGTGAAAAGTTCCCACTAAAAGTCTTATTCTCATTTTGTTTTTCAGCTTATTTCACAAAAAAAAAAAATTTTGAAACCAATTAACAATGCTTCAAAATCAGTAGATTTTTCCCCCAAAGACCAAAAGTTTTGAAACCGATTTATACCGTTGCGTCTGTTTAGCAAGTGGAATGTTTTGATTGGTGATATAATCGGTGTGTCTGTTCATGCCGGTTTAACAAAATATGTAGAAATGTGAAAACCCATTAAAAATAAATGAATTTAATAATATATTAAACATATTTGAAGTCAATTTACTTACACTTGATAATTGATATTTAAATAAAATGCGACATTCATAATAAAATTACAAATACTCATATTTAAAGACAATATTTAACATCAATATCGAAACGTCTATACTTGAATCCAACAAATAACATCAACATTTAACTTTTAAACTCATAAAATAGATGGTAAATTATTCTTTTATTAATTAAATTCGCCAAAACGACGTCATTTTACTTAGAGATAATAAATCGATCATGAGAATCATACCAATTGTGTGTCACCAGTTTCATGACCGGTACCGGTTGAACCAGGTTCAACCGGTGGCATGTCGGCCGGCGTGACAACCATGCCCAAGACACTTGGCTAGTTGGCTTTGGATTTAGTAGTTTCTCATAGGTGAAAAATGTTGAGTTAGCATTCTATTTGAGAGTATTAACTAATTGTTCAGCTGTCTTTTGTTAAGAGCAAAAGTTTGCAAGGACTCCAACTCTAATGCCTGATTCTTGACACAAGTGAATTGGTTGCATCAATCACCTTTAGTTAGGTATAGGTTAGGATGTATAATTATTGGTTATACCTTTGTAAATAATCAGATATGATCTATTGATTTTGAGTGCGATCAGACCTAAAGAATGAGATTAAAATACACTTTATTTTTCTTACTTCTATTAATAGACTTATATCTCTTTTGTTTTAACACGATTTTAAATAGATTGCATAGAATGAAAGAAACTATTCAACATATTTTTTTAGGGTCTTCGGCCACAAGAAAAAACAACCGCCATCGGCCCAAGATTCAACAATGGTAACCTGAGAGTCCCAAGTGGCCAAGTTGGCCTATGACCTTTCAGAAGATAATGAAAGGTTTTTACACGTCGGCTAGTTTGGATCCTAGTCAGCCATGAGAAGAAACTAGCTGGAAATTAGAGCTTTTGAAACAACAATCACCTTAAGTATGACTTACCATAAAAAATATACCTTTAATTTTGTCATAGTTAGGCCAACAAGGCTAAAATCATTTCTTTTCTTTCTCCTTTTTAAAAAAGTGTTATTTCTCACAAAGTTGTTCAACCCTAAATTAAATAAACCTGTTATATAGCTAAATAATTATACTTCATTCTTCCCCTCTTATCCCCTTGTAATTGTTTTAGGATTATGGGGAAGAAAATGATAATTTGATAATGAAAAAGTTCTGATTGTAGCAAATTCTTCAACTTTGCTTTCGTTTTTATCCTCCATTTTTGTTCTTTTGTTGTTGGTGGCGGTTTTATTGATGGAAGCTTTGGCTTTTTCATTGGAGGAAAGCCAATTAGAACGGTCAGTGTTTGTTTATGAGCAAGGGATAATGAAAATAAACATATCTTAGAAGAAAGAGAAGCAAAAAAAATTCTAATTATTTTATTTCAACCTCATATCTAAAGAGTCTAAGTAGCTAGCAATCACAATCCTCTAGTAGGGGGTTTCTATGGCACCCTTATTTGTTCGTGTCCAATCAGCTAGAAATAATAGTGGGGTGTCGTACGTGTTTTGTACTCAATTTCAATATGACCCTGATCGATCTCGCCCATGTTATGATATTGATGTCTCGATTGCACTGTTCAATCTTCAAGGTCATCTTCAAACCCCAACCTTCAATTATCATCATTTTGCCCAAACTCAGCTTCATCGGGACCCTTACCATCCTCGTACAATGTCACATTTCGAACCTACTGATAGTCATAAGCACCGTTTCGTATTGTTATAAGCCCTATGAGCAAACACTAGATCTCCTTATTAGCATATGCCATCAGCCTCCGCCTCCGCCTCATACTAGCCTACCCAACTCTCAGGGCGCTTGTAAATAGGGCTAAGTATCCTCCATCATGTACGTAGTATATAGGTCTCGCGAAAATTACAACGGGGCGCACACTCAGTCTGTGCACATATCTCATCCCGTGCTAACTTGAACTTAGAAAATCCCTCACCTCGATCGATTACTAAAATTATATAATCGACGATTCTACTTCGTTGAAATACACTCTGGACCCATCAAAATGCACGAAACCAAGCTGGGGCTGGGTTACCAAAGAGTTATTTTTTGCATACAAAAATATTGCAGAGGAAATATCTAGGAAGGTGTTGACTACTGTTTGACGAATTGCCACCGTGGAGGGCACGTGCGAAACCACCGTCCACACTCCACCATGCCGGCGTCGTCGGCGTCACTCGCACGTGACTGCCGGCTGCTGCGGCCCCGCCGACTTTTGTCGCTGTTTTGTGTGGTTATGTTGGTGGCGGCAGCCGGCGATTGCGTCCTTTTCCTCTAAAACTCTTATAAGCGCTGCAGAAGAAAATTGAAGAAGAGAGAAAAATGAATTTTATTTAATATATTTGGCCTGCAGATTACTGCATATAGAATTGGGGTGATATCATAAAAAACAGAGATCGTACTGATCACTGTCACGGGCTGCTTGTGAAGCAGTTTAGTAGCTTACTTTTGAAGGAGTGGACTGTTGAATTCAATCATGTTTATCGTGAGTGTAATTTTGCAGCGGACTTCTTAGCTACTAAGGGTGATTGTTCTCCTTTTGGCACACATCTATTCGATGTGAGCGACCTGAACTTCTGTTATTGGTTGTACCACGATTCTATGGGAATTTCCAGGAATCGTTTGATTAATGATATGATATAGGACGCAGTTGCATCTGTTTTCTACCAAAAAAAAAAATTTGGAGTGAATCTCTTTTTTGAAAATAAGGAGTAAAAATGCTAAGCTAGATCTACTATGGTTATTAAAGAATAGAGTTCCAAACTTCCATACGGAATAAATCACCAATAAATTAAGAAACATAAATTACTAACAATGTTTTACATTTGAGTCTGTCTGATAACAAGGTTCATTGTCTTCTTAATAGAGTATTTATCCAACAACTGTGTGAGTATGAGATATGTGAGATTACATCTACTTAAATATACTTCACTGAACTTCAAACACAAGTTCGACAAGGCATCCTAGAAGATTCAGCTGGAGGTCCAGTGCTTCGGGAGTGTTGTCAGATCCTAGACTCTTTGACAGCTTGTATAGAGTTTAAGACGGTTCCTAGAACTGCCAACAGTGTTGCCCATAGAGTGGCGCGTAAAGCACTGCTTTTGTCTCGTCTAGAGTTAGAGTCTTTCGACTTTGTTGGGTGACTTCATTAGGGAGTTGATTGTATGGGGTCCTGGGTAGATTTGTATGGCCGACTCTTGTTCTCTCTTGATATCACTCGTAAATAAATAAAAAAAACTTCAAACCCAATTCCACCACTCAATTCGTTCCACGAAACAAACCCGAGAAGATTGAATATTTCACAAAGTGAAATGATGATTAATTCTTTTTACTTGTACTTCAAGAATGCACATATGATTAGTTGCCACCTTGATGATGCTATCTTTTCATATTCAAGTCATTGGCAACTCGAAGAAAACATGAAAAAGGGGCATTATAAATTATAATTATTCCATAGAAGAAAGTGTGACATGGGGAAAGTTGGCTAAGGCTTCTACTCAACCGCCATTGCAAAAAGAAAGCCCAAAAGCCTCTCCCCCACTTCAATTTGGTTGGTGCCTAATTCACCCAAAAGACAGACTAGCTAGGGCAGTTGGGGCCCGTCATGCATTTTGGGGGAAAAAAAGAATTTAGAGTCAACATGATTATGCCTCAATTATCTACTAAACAAATCTTTAGCCAACCAATATGAGTCTAATCTAATCTAATTGGATTCCAATGGAAGCATGATGTTCGATTCCCTCCCCCCACCACTAGTCAACTAATCACCAACATGAAGAAAAAAAAACACATAATTATATATGTTCACTTTTTATATCACACTAATTTCATTACTCGAGTTGGATGTTGATCATTAAGGCGTAATCCACTCATTGAGTAGGGAGAAAAGAATGGCTCATTAGTTATTCCTCACTTAAATAGGTAATTGGTTGAGTATATGATCATGGAAAGATGGGGTAATTATCATAAATGGTCATAAACCTATTCACTTTGTACAAAACGGTCACAATCCTTTAATTTTGCACGTTTTGGTAAAACAAGTTTGAGTGAATAACGAATTGGTCAATCCGTCCACTTCCGTCCAAAACTCCGTTATCTTTTGCCCAGTCAGCATGACATGTCATTAAAAATATTAATAAAAAAATAAATTAATCATCCTAATTAACACCACACAACCCAACCGGCCGGACCCAAAGTCTTCCCTTTTCCTTCATCTTCTACTTCGATATTCTCCACCGCCCTGTAAATCGCCATTGCTGATGACGAATCCAGCGATAGAGACCGCCTCAACCCCTGCAAATCCCCTGCCCCTTCTCTCCCTCGTTCGAACACATCGCTTGGAACCTTACCCACGAAAGACTGCTCCTTAATAATACCATCAATCTCTTTGAATGATCTGAAAGGTCCGGTTCATTGCTACTATTGTCACCACTACCAAGACTCACTTCACCCTCTCGCTCCTCCTCCGATGCGGTCATTAGAGTTGTAGGTTCCAAATTCTCTACTGTAGAATTTTCCCCGGAATTGAGATTCATCGATGACCCTACAACAACAGCTTGAACAACAACAGCTCTGGAATTCGCATCGGCGGCAACGATCGGGGCGCTGCAGAGTGGGCAATTTTTGTGATCGCCTTCTTCAAACTCGCTTAGGCAAACAGAGCAGTCTGTACTGGAACACCGGGATTGATTCCATTTTCGAGTGTTCCAATCCAACCCCACGGTGTGGATGTACCAAATCGGCTGATCAATCACAGGGCCATGATATTTCGCGATGAAATCGTCCTGTGTAGCAAAACAGTCGACGGATCCCGCCGCCGCCAACTGAAGCTCAGATTCCTGCGCTGCCGCCTCGGTCTCCAGATTCGAAGAACTAAACAGAAGATTCCTATGGCTATAAGCAGAACGAAGCCGATCATCGCCCCCGCGACAGTCATGCTCGTGACCAGCAGATTCTTCCGGTTGAAGTGCCCTCCGGTCGGAATCAGGGAGGGATTGACGGGGAACTTGGTGGGCGGCGCGAAAGAGGCGGCAGAAAGATTAAGGTAGAAGTTGTCATCGTTATCTTCTAGTCCGATCTCCCCTCTCTCCCGCAAGTCGCTGACTTTCTCCAATTCGAGAAGGGTGGGTATTATGATACGGCCGGTTGGGTTGTGTGGGTCAATTGGGTGATGAACTAATTTTTTATTAATATTTTCAATGACATGTCATAGTGACTGGACAAAGGATAACGGAGTTTTGGACGGAAGTAGACGGATTGACCAATTCGTTATTCACTCAAACTTTTTTTACCAAAACGTGCAAAATTAAAGAATTGTTACCGTTTTGTACAAAGTGAATAGATTTATTACCATTTATGATAATTACCCTGGAAAGATGCGCGTTGAGGCAGGTAGATCATCAATATAGGCCGAACAAACGAAACGTGGTTACCTGCCATGCAACTCAACCAGATCAGTAATCATAAATATTGGCATTATTTCGTGGATTGTCGAAAAAATCATTCTCATTGAGAGTACCCACGTCTAATTTTACTAATAAAACATATATGATTCAGTTCGATGCATACGATCTAATAATAAATATCAATCACTATTTGATTCCAATGGCTCGAATTCTCAGCAGAATCTTATACACTTTACAACTTCTTTTCCATCTAATTTTCCATCTAACTTGTTCAGGCAATTGTGAGTTTGATATGGATTGCATGGTTGTCTAAGGCCCATCCTAGACATACATAAGCAAGTGCAAGGCCCAGGAAGAAAGATATTGAGCCCAAATACGGGAAAGGCCCGCCGCCGCCACCTTCAAGCTTTTGGGAGGAGCATTTCAGGCCCCAGACTCGAGGCGGCCGAGGATTGTCACGGACATAGACTTTCGAAGTCCGTGCGGCGTCTTGAGGTGCACTCGTTTCTCAAGACCAACCTCTCTGCATACGTATGTCAACTGGTTTCACCCTGCTTTGGACTCATCAGGGAGACGACAATAGCCTCCAACCAGTTGTGTCTTTTCTTGCAACGATCCCCTTCATAGCCACATCCTGACTCGGCCAGATGCGATGCACAAGCAGACAACGCCTTATTGCTAATGTCGCCCCTCATTCTTCAGACAATCAACACGGTCACGACATTTCGGGTCGTGACAGGACCGGGTGGCGGGGAAAGAAGAAACTGCAGAGTGAAGCCGGCCGCCACCAACTTTACTGATTGCTTTATTTATTAGTTTGATTTCCTATTGGAGAAAATTGAAGACAACATTCAAGCCTAGAACCATTCATGCTGGGGTAAAAGAGCTGAACATGCACACCAGAATTCCAAGAAGCTAACTCTTAGCAATACGCAGTTGGCTTTGACAAACAATTATTATGTGCGCCTTTACAAAGCTGCGAAACACAAAACCATTACAATCCAACACCACCTTTAGCCCAGTACAAGCTACATATTCCCCAACGCAAAAAAAACCCAAACTCCCAAAGACCTACTTCAATCCCCTGAAAGACATTTAATTCTCACAGAAGAGATTCCTCCTGGTGAGTGTGTATCACGCAGTCAGAAGTAGGGTAAGACACACAGGTCAGGATGTACCCTTCCTTCATTTGATTGTCGTCGAGGAACGAGCCATCCGACTGGTCAACCGAGCCCGACGCCAGCTTCCCTGCACAAGTGCAGCAAGCCCCCGCCCTGCACGAATAGGGCAGGTCGACTCCTGCCTCCTCTGCAGCGTCGAGGATGTAGGTGTCGTCGGCAGCTTCAAACTCGCTCTCTTCACCATTCGGGCCAATCAGCTTCACTTTGTAGACAGCCATGGATGCTTTGAAATTAGGGCTGCATTTTAACCCAAAGGACTTGGAGATGTTCCTCACCGAACCGAGAGCATTGGGGCTCTTGAATATGGTGCTTGTGAGTCTCCTTTGGGCACCGGGTGCGAGGACCGTTTGGGAGGGAACTGTCGCTGTGGCCATCTCCAAATCTGTGGGTGGGAAACACAGAAAACCTAATGATTTACTTCTCTTGCAGATACTAGATTCAATAGAAAAAATTGGGCAAAATGTTGGTAACAGACTAACAGTATGGCAACATGTAACCGCTAATCTAATTGCATTTGCATATGTAAGCTTTCCCATGATAGACATAGGAATTGGACTTGAATGTCTATTAAGAGTTGAGAAGGCAGTTAATGTTTGGAGCGTTATGAGAAGATGCGAGCGGAGGGGCTCTATGCTCTTCACTCGATACTCCAGCACAGAGATTTACAAGGCAGAAAAATCAAAAGGTAAAACCTTTCCATCTCTCCCAATTACACCAAGTTGTACCATCTTCAGTAATAGTTGAAGCATCCCGATATCAAGCCAAGATTCTGACTCTAAAATGAGATTCATTCCGAGTTCGGGTAGAACAAAAACACGAAGCCATTAGGGATTGCTAAGACATCAATCACCTCCCTTTTTAATTACTAGGATCCAAGATTTCGATGAAAACAAAGCACAGATTCATCTTTCAAGAACAATGGAAGCAGAGATGGGTTTGTTTCGGGCTAAACCCCCACCTCCTGACAACTTGACTTAATCCAAGGCCACAAATGAACACTCTATTATAAACAGATGTGACTTCGACCACCAGACCAGTTCTGATCTCACCAGTTATACGGTACTCTCTATGCATCTCACGTGTTTGACAAAATTCCTGAATGGGTAAACCCCAAAATCTACAAAGATCGAGCCTTTCCACCAACCCAAAACTATTGGCCTAACAGATCAGACACCACGCGCAACATTTGACGATAATAAACAAAACCCATCAACAGAAACTCACAAACACTTCACAGATCAAACATCGAACAAAAAGAAACACACCCAAGTCAGGAGAAACGAAACAGAATAGAGATGTGAGATTAGGTCAAGAGGCCTCACCGAGCAGTGAAGTTGAAGAAGAACGAACGGCGGAAAAGGGCAGGCGGGTTAGTTGGCGGAGGATGTGAGGGAAGACAAAATGCAAAGGAACTCTCTTTTTATATAGAAAAACGGAAGAAAGAAGGGTTTGAGGGCAATGTGTGGGGTTTTGGTTGGCGATTGGGGGATGGTGGGCAAAAAAGGCTGGCTGGCAGTGGCAGTGGCAGTGGCAGCTCACGAACGGCAAAAGGTCCCCTCTGAATATGCAACGGGCCTGCTAAGAAACAACCCAGTTGAGGCTCAAGAGGAGCTGCCTACAAATAACAAATCCACCAATTCACAGCTCGAAACGTCGCCATTGGCAACTATTATTATATTCTAGCTTGTCGATTGCCGCCCTAGAGGCTAGACTGACGAACTTGGACACTTGGTTGTTTTCCTTTGAATAAAACATTGCAAGAAATTGATTGGTGCCCTCTCTTGAACCTTCCCAACAGCTTCGGTTCCCTCGTAGTTGGACTTGGCAAATTGAAATTTGCCTGCTTGCTGAATTGACAAGGGCGAGAACAATGTTGTAAAAACCCTATTGTAATTGATAATAGCAGAGTAACGAAATGTTTTAGATTAACGGCCGGTCAAATTGGAAATAACGAATACTGACTCTAAGTTATAGATAATTTTAGTGACGTGAAACTGTTCCAAAACGGTTTCACAATCGTTGGTAGTTGGTACTAATAACTCGTAAATTATATGATTAGCAACAGGGCAAGCCTAACTTTGCAGCCAAGCGGATATAGCTAATAGGTCCAGGGGACCATACAAGAAGCTTTAAATCGCAAGGCAAAATATGAGGAAGAAGAATTGAGCTTCCTCTTCTGCAGTATGTTCATAAAAGTGTTGGCACTAAAAGTAAACAATGTAGCGGAGAAAGAACAATTTTCTTAACGAACTGCAAGTCCCACCCAACCTTCTGCACTCTCTGATGTAACAACATTCCCAGGTGCCAAACAAGCCTATATGGTTTCTTTTCAAATCCTACACAGCCAGCCCCCCACTAAAACAATATCCTAAGAGACCACCACCCGGCGCCTGCTCAGAAGATTCTCACGGGAGTACCCATCGTAGTCTTCAAGTTCAGCACTTTAACCTGAAAATTCACAGACAAGTATGTTTGCCGTTAGGCAAACCGAGCTGATTCGATAGGCGCAGAATAACGGATGAGGGATGATAACTCACATTCTGCCAGTTCTTCTTCAGCAGGGAGACAAGGAAGTTGATGCTCATCTGAACGTTCTGGAAGATCTGCTTCTCGTCCATGTCCAAGTTTCCAACAGCGACGCCCATGCACAAGACCTTCTTCAGCTGGAACTTCACCGTTGCCTTGACCTCGTTCACTTTAGCCTCCAGGGACTCTTGATGGGAGACGAGGGTAGGGAACTTTCCTGTACCCAAGATGAGACCCCCTTTGTTATTTCCAAAGACAATTGTTGTAACATTACACTATTTGAGCAAGTATAAAACTCTGTTTGGTGAACTTGCCTGCCTTGTTCAGGCCAGGGCCAAGAAGACGAGGAATCTGCTTGATAACAGATTCAGAGGCCAAAAATGCATGGTATGACTTTGCAAGCTTCTTCACCAGCTTCTTGTTCTTGTTGAGCTTCTTCAAACTCTCCACTTCCATGTATTCCAGATTCAGTGCCTTTGCCTGGTACCGACAACAACAACAACAACAACAACATACTCATTCAGGGTTGAGAATACAATTAACAAGGCATACTATTTAAACACAAATATGGCTCATCTTGCACCATTAAACAACACTAAGCACAAACACATTTCACTATCAACAAAGACACGATACATACACGAACAAGACCGTTCTTAATCTCAATCTTGGTATTCAATACTTGTAAGAATCCATAGAGAATTAATTACCTCTTCAACATGCTGGGCATCTCCAAGCATGCACACCTTCATCTTGGGGCGGGGAATGTGGGGCAACCTAACCGACCCACTGAACCGCTTGTCCTTCTGAGGATCATAGTTCTTCAGCCCAATCTGGAGCTCCACAGTCTCTGTGAACTTGCGTGGCTTCTCTGCTGATTTAGTCCTGATCGTCGAGATTGCCTCCCTCAGTGCCTCACTCTGAAGCTTACTGCAGCGGGACAAAAACATTAAAACATTCAGGCTCACAACCGATCATCGCTTCACCGAAAATCAGCTCAACTTCTCAAACTAACAAAAACCCTGCAGTTTATTTTCTCAGAATGGCACTACGATTATGTCAAACAATGGGTACGCCTTTGAACCAGGCATTGATATCGCTACATAGAACGGGATTCAAGCACGACTTATAGCTAGCTCAAGGAGCACAATGATATGCAAATCGAGCTCGCGAGAGCTTACCTCATGGTTGCGGGAACCTTCAATACCTGCAAGACAAAAGAGCGGCGATCCGTAGACAAATTAGAAGAATTGCGATGAACAATGGCAAGCAAAGGAAATGGCGGGAACGAAGATCAAGGACAGAAATCGACGATTCAGAAGCAACAAAGACGATGATCTGTTGCGCAGAATCGAACGGGGTAAAAAGAAATACGAAGGGGATGAAGTAGAGGGAGGGAATAGAGGACGGTACCAGCAAGAGATGCCTGATGGAAGCTCCACAGCTCGCCGTAAGAGAGGAATCGGAATATAAGCTCCGCCCTAAACCCTAGTTTCCACACAGCAGTTGCGAGTCTGGATGGGCTGCATAATTGGGCCAATGGTTTTTTTCGGGCTGGGAAGTAGATGGAAAGCCCGATATTATATTATGCAGGCCCAGTCAGACCTAGCAGACGAAAAGTAAGTCATTCTAATCCACGCATAAAAGTCTACGCAAACACGTCGATGTTGTGACTTATAAGCAGTGTTATTAAAATCGAGCAGAGCCGGTCAGTCCGAGTCCGACCGATAAAATTGACCCGACCACCAAACTGGTTTGGCACAGTCAAATAATTGCATAGGTTGGAAAGGGCGGTTTTTGAGCGGCCGGAACCGTTCGTGTCTCTCGGATCGTCCGAAAGATTTTTTTCCCCTCAGCCCGGAAATTCAAAAAAAAAATGGAAAAAAAAAACGTTCTCCGCACAATCGACTAGTTTTCATCGGATCTATGGTGGCCGCCGGAGAGCTCCTCCAGCCCTCCACGTCCCAGATTCGTTGCACTCTGCCACCTCCATGTTCTATGAAAAGAAAGGAAATAAGAGGAATTGTAGAAGAAAGAAGGAAGAAAATAAATCGAGACTTTGAGAGAGAGATGGGGTGAGGCGGTGAGCCGCCGAAGGGTGGGTGGAAGAAGAGCCGCCGCTAAGGGGGGTGGAAGAAGGGTCGCCGCTGCTGGGTTGAAGGAAAGAAGAAGTAAGAAAAGAAAGAATTTGAGACATAGAGGGGAAGTGATGATCGCTTAAGGATGTGGATGGGGTGGGGGTAGGGCTGTTAGCGGTGCGGTTTCGGTTTTAACCGAACCGCATCCGCGGTTAACCGCAGCCGAGTAACGTCCAAAAAGGCCAACCGCAACCGACACCGACGGCCTTGTCGGTTAGCCGAAAACCGCCGCCACGGTTTCGGGTCGGTGTCGCGGTTAGCAGAAGACCGACGCAGAGGGAGAATCTGGCCGGATTTCTGGATCTGCTGGCGACGTCGGCCTTGCTTGGCGGTGTCGGGATGGCTGGATGACATCGGCTTTGCTGGGCAAGGTTGGAACTACTGGGCGACGTCGGCATTTTTGGGCGACGACGGAACTGTCGGGCGACGTCGGACTGCCGGGTGATGGCGGGACTGCGGGGCGACGATGGCGAGATGACTAGCGATGGGGGAATGGCGATGTTGACGATTACTGGGAGTCTGGGACTGCGAGAAGGAGGATGAAGGCGGCAGTGGGGAAGCCGAGAAGGGCGGTGGCGAGTGACGATGGGTCGACGACTGCAGCAGGGACTCCGAAGAGTCAGGGATGGTAGGGCACGCGGTTGTCTCGGTTTAACCGCCACGGTTTCGGTTTTCACCGATAACCGCAACCCTCTCTAATTTGCCGGTGACTGCCAACCGACACCGCCAACCGACACCGACGTTGCGGTTTTCGGTCTACCGAAAAACCGACGGTCTCGGTTCGGTTACGAGGTTAACCGGAAAACCGGCCACCGATTAACAGCCCTAGGTGGGGGTAGGTTTTTTTTGTTAGTTAGTATATATATATATATGCAATGTAATATTACAAAGTAGTACCTAGTAAATTTTATTTTAGTCATTATATTGTTAAATTATTATTTTATGTGTCTTGTACTTATGATTTTATTGTTTATATAAGTATCGGTTCTCTAACGGTTTTATAACGGCTCAATGCCGGTTGGACCACCAAAGTACGAGCCATTCGTATTACCGGGTCATGTCCCGATTCTGTTCTGACAACATCACTTATAAGTATGACTGGATCAATGATTGTTAAATCGTTCATATGTCGGTTGACACAATTGGGTTCAACTTTCATAAACTATCTTAAATAACTCAATATGTGGTGATAGTTAATTTTGGTCAATATACTAGTTAAAATCATTTTATTCATGAAGCCAGCCCCTAACTCACTAAAGACCATATCAACTAGTCTTTCATATTACAAATAAGACATATTTTATCTACATAATTTTTTTGAAATGATGCATTTATTTTCATTTCTTCCCGCCACTTTATTGCGGCAAAATTAATGGTCCAACCAGTATGACCAATTTTCTTTCCACTTGCTAAACCAGGCTAATGTATAAACTAGCTTATAGCCATACTTTTTTTATAATATTTTTCAATTTAATAAAATTAATATCAATTTTTATGCATTTTTCAAAATAATAGTCACGACTCTTTCTCATCCTTAGACGGAATTACCTGCTCTTTCGATACTTACGGATTACCTTATAACGCAATTCAAATATTCAAATTATGTCGTTGAAATACTCCAAACACAAATATTAATATTCTCCAATTAACATTCAAAGTTGTGAAAAAACACTAGTCACAATGATGGAATCAATAAAGGATTCTCACAAAATATATGAACTAATTGTTTTTTGAACGTTGATGGGTCGTCTCATTAATACGAAACATGGTGTACATGGTTGAAACAACAATGAAAGGAAGGAAGGAAAAGGCCCACTGAAAAAGAAATCTAAACTAAGCTTTACATCCTAAACTAAGCTTTACATCGGCCCAACACCCAAACCAAGGCCCAAGGCCTGATCCCAACAAGTGGATCCCGAAAGCCTAATCTAGAAACCCTACATCAGTTGACCAAGCATTGCCTGGTGGCTACCAAAAGCATCCCCTATCTCCAAAAACACGCCGCACAAACTCCTGTCAACATGAGACGTCCTTCGCCGGGGAATAATCACTAGAAAGGACAACACATCGCCGACGAGAGGACAACAGCCGCAAGAAAGGACATAGGGAACCAAACTCAGAACCTCTCCAAGATCTACCTGCAACAACAGACAAACCAGAGGAGTAACCCCTGAACAAGGACAGAACCGTGGCTCCTCAAACCCACAGATCTGAGCAAATCGGTCAAGAACCCACAACAATAATGCCTTCCCTACTCTCAAGCTCCCCAAAAGTCTATCCTAGAACACAATGGCCCATGCATCTCCCAAATCATCCCTAGCTATGGATGAAGTGAATGGAGGTAGATAGAAAAATCAGAGAGGAGAAAGCAAACCGAAAATCGGCACCCTCAAACACCTACCTGGAGATCATCCACACAAGATCTGGAAACCAGCAAGGTGGGAGCAAAATACATCTCATCAAGGAGGGAGAGAAGTCATCATCCATGGGAAGGAAGAAATCCAGAAAGGGGAGGAACAAGCATGAAACAGCAAGGAAAAGGAAAAGGAAAAATAAAATCAAAGGGAAGAAGAGAACAACCTAATAAAAGAAAAGAGAAAGAGACTTGATTTTTTGAGGGCCACCGCCGGATTCAGGGGAAAACAACGGCAGCCCCATGAGATTCAAAAACTTTGGTCTTTGGAGAGAAGGGAGAGAAAAGAGAAAGTTAGAGAGAGGAAGGACTTTTCGAAGAGGATTGTGGGGTTGTATACATGAACTAATTGGATGGAACAAGAACAACCAATCTAGCTAGCTAGCTAGCTAGCTACCCCAACACATTAGTTTAACATCCACAATATGCATTTGATTGAGAAAGTAAAACAAGTTGTTGATACTGCCCTTCCTTCCCAACGGTTAACCGTGTATGACGGCAAGGATCGCCTGGCGGAGACAGTGGCAGCGGAACAGACCGACGTATTATAGTTTAAAATGTAGCGGAGACAGTTTAAAATTTTGTGATCTCACATTTTATTTCCGGCATCACACGTATTATAGTGGTAGATCTTCCATGTTTGAGTTTTCGCGATCATAAGTTAAAATGTAGTTTAGTAAACACTTAATGCGGTACATGAAACGACGGTCTCTTTGTAAGATCGGCTATTGGTGTTAATGTCAAAGTTTGGATATTGTTAATTGGTGGTTCTAAAGATGCCACGCTATTCAATTGTCATCGTTACTTCTTGCATGCTCGAGATCCTGCTAAGTGGTGGATGGATTGATATATTTTTTACCTTCATTTTGAACATTAATAAGAAAGCGGATTAATTGGGCCCGTTTAGTATTGTTGCTTGTTTTTGTTTCCTGTTGTGTTTTAAGAAATTTGGCAAACCAAGAAAAAAAACGTGTTTAGTTAGGTTTTTATTTTTTTGTTGTGAATCAGAGTTGCACAACAAGGCCCAAATATGAGAAACAACAATTTATAGTTTTGGATCTGATTCTTAAACATGTTGCACACGGGATTCCTATTGGTTGGGCGCTTGATTTCATTAAAACAGACCAGTTTTCAAATCCCCACAAAAGCAATAAAAATTTTAACATAGCCGCCCCCCAAAAAAACCCTACTTCCCTCTTTTCATCTTCTTCTTCTTCTCGACAGAACACAACCGCCCCTTTTCCATCTTCTTCTTCTTCTCGACAAAACACAGCCGATACCCATCTTCTTCTCCCAGCCTCCGCACGGCGCGACCCCTCTGCCTCCGCCCAGCGCCGCTCCGCCTCCGGCCGCCGCAGCCCACGCCGCCTCGCCGCAGCCCGCCGCAGCCCGCGCCGTCTCGCCTCCTCCTAGCGCCGCCTTGTCTCCGCCCGCCGCAGCCGCCCAACCCGCCGACGTCCTCCCAGCACACACAGTTGCAGCTCAGGTATAGTCTTCCGGTGTATTGGGTTCTCTGTCATTAAGAAGTGTGCTCTAATTTTACTTGCTCTTGTATTGAATGTTCTATGAATTTCGGTTGGACAAATTGTAGATGGGCAGTGAATTTCGGTTGGACTTTGCTTAATATTGCGGACATATCTCTTTTTCTGGTTTTTAGTTCTTATAGTAGTAACTAAACGCGTTTTTGTTTCTTGTTGTCAGCTTTCATGATTTTTCAGATTTATCAACTAAACAGGTTTGTGTTTTCTGTTTTTTTCCTGTTGTGGTTGTACATCTGTTTACACAACACCACTACAACCACAACAGCAACAAAATGATACTAAACGGGCCCTAAGATGCTCGACTTTCTCTCTTGTTGAGGAAGTTTTATACTGTTACTGTAATTGGACTAACATGCATGGTTGATAGAGCACTTCTACTATACTATATAGCATTGGTGCTTTAATGTACAACTTGAAGTTGTACCATAACATTAAATGTATAAGTTTAGGTTGTACCATAAAGGAATTTGTATCATTATGTTATGGTACAACTTTACAACTGGAAGTTGTACCATCACCTAAGGTACAAGTTTAAGTTGTACCATAAAAGAATTTGTACAGAAAGTATAGGTACAATCTGAAGTTGTACCATAACGTTAAAGATACAATTTCAAGTTGTACCATAAAGGCAAAAACCTATAGCACCAATGCTATATAGCATTGTAAAATTCCTCATGGTTGATATTGTTAAGTCTTACCGCTCCTATAGTTGCTTGCTTGAGCACGAGAAAAAAGGAATGAAGTGTCATTAATTATTTCTACTCAAAATGAAATTTCCAACAAGCAGATTACTAACACTATAGGTTTTAAAATATTAACATTTTGTGGAAATAGCCAAGAATATGTGGTGATTACAATATTTTTGACGCAGAAGTAAAAATAGCACAAATACTTGCAATTTTTTGAGAAAATTAAAATACATTAGATCCGGACACATGGTGAAAGTAACACTCATGCGCCTCATGTGCAACTTTGTTACCTATCATTACTAGCATAGCACATTAAAACCAGTTAAAGTCAAGATTGTTGTACGTCCTTAGTCGATAGATAACATGAACTTCTCGAAACTCATTTTACGGATCGTTTTTTCAATTATATCGCGGACTATTGCTGATTATGCGGACTAGCTAGTGATTGATTGCCCCACCGACGTGCAATGCCCACCAAACCCAATGGGTCTAGGGATGGCATCGGGGCGGATCGGGGGCGGGTACCTACCTCCCGATCCCCGCCCGTCAAGACTGACGGATTTTCCCGTCCCCGTCCGCGCAGGTTAAACGGGCGGATTATGTCTACCGTCCCCGTCAGCAAACGGATCCGGGTAATCCACGGATCCCCACGGAAGAGGGGAGAGTGACGGCAGGTTAGGAGCGGACATGATTGGAGATGTGGGCGCGATTTTGGGATCGCTTAATTCTGGGCACGCAGGCATGATTTTGAGATTTCAGGAGCAGAGGGAGGAGGGGAAGAAGAGGAAGAGTGGAGAGGGAAGGGGAGGAGTGACTGGAGAATGCGATCAGAAGAGAGAGGGGAAGAAGAAGAGTGGAAAGGAAAGGGGAGCATTCGGTCGAGCCGCAACAAGTGAAAGGGTTAGGGTTTTTGAACCTCAATTATTAGTTTATATATTGGTCCAAAACGACGTCGTTTTGCGGTATCGGGTGGGGACGGGGCGGATACCATGAGATCCATCACCACCCGTTGCCCGCTACTATCGGGTTTCGGGCATACCCGGATCCGCGCTTTACCCACGACGGACGGTTTTTTTGACCTCCATCTGGGCGGGTTTCGGATGGATACCCAGCGGGCCGGGTAGGGTAGCCATCCCTAAATGGGTCGTGTCGCTTGGGGTTTGAACGGAAGAGAACTTGGAGTTACATATACATTTATTCTTAAATTATGGTGAGATTTGCGTGCGAAAACTTAATCCATGTTACAAGTATGGACCGGGATATAAAGGGGATAATATTTTGGAAACTATAACTTTATTACTAGTTTCTCAGTTTGTTTTTAATTGCCGAAGTGAGATTTTACTCATAAAAGCAAACCATTTGAAGTTACAATTCAATTTGACGTGGATATAATCACGTTTAATATACATAACTGGCTTCTATTAACCCTTACTTGTCATTTCCGATTTTGATCAACCTTACAAGTTACTGCAACATTCCAAGGTTAGGTTTTGGCGGAAAAGCCAATAACCCATATATCAGTTAAATTTTAAAGACACATTTAAGACGGGCTTGAAACATATCGTACCATTTTGGCAATAGCTAGCTTCATCTCATTCATATTACTATCCTCCTACAACTCCAGCTCAAACGACTCATTATTGACAAGCAGACTTCTTAAATGTATCGAAATGAATTCCTTCGTTATTGTGTCGAAATATTCTTATACCCTTAAAGAAGTTAATATGTCATCATGCAACTAACACATATACTGGGCGGCTAAAGTTAATCTGCTAACTTGAAGATTCATTAGCAGATACTAACTGATATCCAAAATACATGAACTAGTATCCAAGTACTAAAGTATCTAGAGAGCACAGACTAGTATTCAAAATTTACTAACTGATATCCACCATGAATCAACTATTATCCCAAATTCACAAACTAATATCTAGACAACACAGAATAGTATCCATACAACACATAATTAGTATCCAGATAACACATAAGAGTATCCAAATAACACATAAGAGTATCCATATTGAATACTAGTTGGTTGATTGTGGATATTAGTTAGTATCTGCTATCTGGATACTAGTTTGTGATGTTTTGAATACTGCTATGTGCTATCTAGATACTCAGCAAACTTGGATATTAGTTCATACATTTTGAATATTAGTTAGTATATACTAACGAATTTTCAAGTTAGCAGAATAACTAGGCTGATACTGGGCATCATGGTTGTCTTTTTTTCAAATAGGTGGCCTGCTTGTCGGTAAAATTAAAAATTGGTACTAGTTATTACAAAACTGACTGGAATGTGCATGAATTAAAAATACGGGCCTCCAATCAGTCAAAAAAAAAAAAATAATAATAATAATAACGGGCCTCCAAAGGCAGACTCGCCTAATTAGCGGCCAGTATTGGAGCCCAGCTCGAGAAACATAGCCCAGGCCCAGAACTATCCCGGGCGGGCCTGATAGGTCTAGGGTTTTGCTATATTTAAGCTCCTTTTCTTCCATTCTCCTCTGCCCTTTTGCAGCAGAAGCCGTATCTTCACGATGGTAAGCCTAAAACCTAATACCTCCCTCCGGCGGAACCATGGCGGCTCCTCCGTTCTTCTTCGCTTCGCTTTGTGCTTATTTCATGAACTGCTGATCGTTGACGATACTTGTCTCTGTTGTCCAGGCGTTCGCGAAAGCCCAGAAGACCAGAGCTTATTTCAAGCGTTTCCAGGTCAAGTACAAGAGACGGCGAGGTACGCTTCTTTGTCACTGAAATGGACTAGGGTTTATCATTTTTTGGTCTTTCTCCTTTCCTGGGACTCTCAATGGAGGTTTTAAGCTAGTTCTCATTTGATTCTTCGTAGATGGCAAAACTGATTACCGCGCCAGGATTCGCCTGATTAATCAGGACAAGAACAAGTACAACACCCCCAAGTACCGCTTCGTCGTCCGATTTGTATCCTGGGACTATTTTTTGAATCATTCGGCTAAGTATTCTGATTATTTTGATGCTTCATTCAATGCAATTGTAGGGTTCGATGTGTTGCCTGTAGTTAGGCTGCTCTGCTTAGTTTGAACTTAGGAGGTGGTGTTAGTTATGTTAAGCTTGCTCGTTGAGATTTAGATGATATTACTGTTGAACTATGATCCAGATTTAGCCTTCCTTGTGAATCCTTGACGAATTTGTTAGACCAACAAGGATGTTGTCGCCCAGATTATCAGCTCCACCATTGCCGGTGATAATGTCATGGCAGCAGCTTACTCTCATGAGCTTCCCCGATATGGGCTGGAAGTTGGGCTCACTAATTACGCTGCTGGTAGGTTATTTGAGATCATCTGCTTAGCTTTGGCTTGCTTCTTTCTATTGAAATGTTTTGATTCTTATTTTTTAATAATACCACCTGTATATGTGCAGCGTACTGCACTGGGCTTCTCCTTGCTCGTAGGGTCCTGAAACAGCTTGAGATGGATCAGGAGTACGAGGGAAATGTTGAGGTGTGCACTGATTCCGTTGATTTTGTTATTTTATGTTTGTGTGCTACATGCAGTGCTTATTTTGTTTATCAATTTTGTATTTTGTCCTGTGAGTAGGCTACTGGAGAGGATTACTCTGTTGAGCCAACCGACAGGAGGCCATTCCGTGCTCTTCTTGACGTTGGTCTTGTTAGGACAACCACTGGGAACCGTGTCTTTGGTGCCCTCAAGGTATTGAAATCCGAATTTGTTTATGCATCCCTCCATCCATTGATTTCCCTCCTTTTTATTTGCACTTCTGATTGTTCATTGTCTTCTGCAATGTCAGGGTGCTTTGGATGGTGGGCTTGATATCCCTCACAGCGAGAAGAGGTTTGCTGGTTTCAGCAAAGATAGCAAGCAGCTCGATGCTGATGTTCACCGCAAGTACCTCTATGGTGGCCATGTTGCTAACTACATGAGGGTATGATGAGTTTGCAGTTGTTTGGTTGTGTCAAGGTTTGGTGGAAAATTGCAGTGAACTTTCTGGATATGCCAATTGATATTTGACTCCCCCCCTATTCAATACCAGATCTTGCAAGAGGACGAGCCAGAGAAGTATCAGACTCACTTCAGCGAGTACTCGAAGAGGGGCATTGGACCCGATGAGGTAGAGGAACTGTACAAGAAGGTTCATGCTGCCATTCGTGCTGACCCAACTGCCAAGAAGACTGGCAAGCCTGCTCCCAAAGAACAGAAGAGGTCAGCTTCATCTTCCTATCCCATGTTCCTTCAATTATCATCCGCTATGTACGCTGCTATAACAATCCTAACCATGTGTGGCTTGGTACACTTGCAGGCACAACCCGAAGAGGCTTACTTACGACGAACGCAGGAACAAGTTGATTGACAGGCTCAAGGCTCTGAACTCTGCTGCAGATGATGATGAGGATGACGAGTAGATGTAGCTGTACTGAAGAAGCGTGGGGTTTTGTCTGGAAGGTTATTTAGTATGGACAGAATTGAAACGTTCAGGGAATCTGATCCTTGGATTTTTGGTTATATGAGTCGTTAGTTATGGGTTTCTGTATCGTTGAATGATTGTTACAGTTTTTATTATCGTTTCTCAGTTTGAAGACCATGAAGATGAAACTAGTTATCTTCTATTCTCAGTCTCCATTTATCTTCTATTACTTGCCACTCCGTTCATCCAATTGCTGTGGAATGCTTTGCAATTCGCCTGCTCTCTCCCTCCATTAGCACGTTCTCCGTATATCAAATTTGTCAGGAAAATGGATTTATGAGATTTATCCTATCAATTTGTACTTTTTCTACGTTTTTAATACAAAGAAATCTTAGGAGAGGTAACATAGTTTATTGAATTTCGATGTGTGAAATGGATTATGCCATCCATTCTCTGCTTGTCGAACTTCTTCAATAATGTCAAGTTTAGATGTCAAATAATCCAATTCGAGTCAAGTATAACTTGAATTGGCGAAATAGTATAGTGCTTATTGAGGTTGTATTCTTTGAGAAAATTTTGCACTTATACTACTCTTCATCTCGATCCAAACGAAATATGTGAATATAAACTATCCAACAAACAAAACTACACTAGGGAGATCACTAAAGGAAAGTGTTGCTTAGGGTTGAATAATTTTAGTTATAGGTTGATATGGGTTGAATGCAAGTCAATGAAAGCTCTTCTACCTATATGATGAAGAGTCACTTAAGCTAGCACTTAAGAGATTGTCATATGTCTTATATGCATTTCTAGTTCTAGTAGACTTGGCTTATTGGTCATGCAACCAACAAATCTCTAGAGCACTAAGTCTAGATTCCTCCTGTTTGACCTGGATTAGTATCGGGGGATTAGTGTGGAACTTCGATTCGGACTCCCTCGTCTGATCTCCTCGGGAGTGGAAGAATCATGTGGAGAGTCGGGGGCGGCCCCCGTGATCTACACTCCGACGGTCAAGTTAGAATAGGATATATAATAGAGTGTAGAGAATGTAGAGAGAGACAAGGTTTAGAGAGAGAACCATAAGTGGTAAAGTGAGGGAGGGGAGAGAAGTCCCTTTGCTTGGAGGGTCTGGCCTCCTTATATAGGAGTTGGAGGCATCCAGTGGACGCCTCCCGGTGGTGGGCGCCTCCCGTTGTCATGGACGCCCCCGGTAGACTGGACGCCTCCCGTCGATGGACGCCTTCCGGTGAGTGGACGCCTTCGGGTAAAGGTCGCCCCCGGGTGGACTGGACGCCTCCCGGTGTACTGGACCCCGAATGGGCTCGGACCCAAGGTGAGACGCTTTGTAGCGGGCTTGGGCCAGTATTAGGTGAGTTAATACTAGACCCAACACCTCCAATTGAGTTTAACCTGTGTAAATGAAATCACAACCCAATTATAACGACACAATGTGAGGTAGATCATCGAATAAGGGAGAATTAGAAATTTAGGGCAATATACCGTTTTGTTAAAAATATATAAAACGTGAACTGATTTGGTAGTCACCAATGGTATAAGGAGTATAAATGCATTTAAACCAATCGTCAAATCATATACTCTCTTTCTCTCTCGCCCTTTTTTCCCCCTCTTGTCTCTGTGTCTTCGATCTTTCTTTCTCCGTCTGTCCGTGCACGTTGATTCTGCTTCCTAAGTCCCTGCAAATCAGCTCCCTGCTACTCTTGAATCGTTTCCCACAGAATCGCCCCTCGCTCAAATTCTCTTCCTTACTTCCTGCTTTGTTTCATGTGACAACTGGTAAGATCTTTGAATACCCTTTCCCCTGTTTTCTGCGATCCTCTTTCTCTTTGGGTGTACTGGTTTCTCAAATAGTGAACTGTGATTGAGTTTGAATTGGGTTTTTGAATGGCACCCATTTGTTCCACTTTTCTGTATGTTCATTTCGCTCCCCTGTTGGAAATGGTGGTAGGAACATAACCGCAACCTTAACTGGAGATCCTTAGTTGCCGGCCATTGTGGCCTTAGGAATAGGGCTTTGGAAAGTTCTTTATTTAAGTTAAGCTGGACTCATTTGGGTAGTAGTCAAGGATTAGGATAACAGAAATAGTTGGTAATGGTATTAGAAGAGCCATGTAACCGAGGAAGAAGACCGCATTCAGAAGCTCGAATCAGGATTGAAGGGTCTGCAGCAAAATCAGTTGCAACTCAGCCTCAAATCATTTTCATTGTTCTTTCTGCAACTGCCATAGTAACTATTGTGTGGAAAACTATAAAAAGTTAGCAGCTTTTAGCCTTGGGATGAAAGAATCTCATTGATATGGGAAACCCTGTTAGCAGTTGCATGCGCTTATTTGTTGATTTTGATGGTCTTCATTGTAATTGCTTTTGCTTTCAGATGACGGAGGAGCTTCCAGTTGAAGTGATTGGGAATATCTTGTCGCGACTAGGAGGTGCTAGGGACGTGGTAATAGCCTCTGCAACATGTCGGAAGTGGCGAGAAGCTTGCCGCAGGCATCTTCATACACTCTCATTTAACTCCAATGACTGGCCTGTTTACCATGATTTATCAACTAGTGTTCTGGAGATACTGATAACTCAGACTATATTCCAGACTATTGGGTTACAAGGCCTGTCTATTTTGATGGAAGAAGTTGAGGAGTTCTCAGCTTCAGCTGTGATTGCTTGGCTGATGTATACCAGGGAGACCTTGCGGCGGTTGCATTATAATGTTCATACTACTCCGGGTGTCAATATTCTCGAACTTTGTGGTAGGCAGAAGCTGGAGACTTTGTTTTTGTCACATAACTCGATCAATGGTGTTGAGCCGAATTTCCATAGGTTCCCTTGTCTGAAATCCCTTGCTTTGAGCTATGTCAGCATCTCTGCTCTGGACCTTAATCTTTTGCTCACTGCTTGCCCGAAGGTCGAGGCACTTGAACTTGTGAATCCCGAGATTGCAATGTCTGATGCTCAGGTTACTATTGAGTTGTGTAGTCCTACTCTGAAGAGTGTCTATGTTGAAGCAATTAGCTTGGACAAGTTCATATTGGAGGCAGACAGTATCGAGTGTTTGCATTTGAAGGATTGTGCTCTTGAGTTATTTGAGCTGGTAGGAAAGGGGACCTTGAAGCATTTCAAGATCGATGATGTTAGTCTCATACATCTGGATATCGGCGAGACAGTTGATAATCTTGAGATCGTTGATATTAGTAACTTCACCATTTTTTGGCCCAAGTTCTACCACATGATCTCAAAATCCTCAAAATTGAGGACACTTAGGCTTTGGGACGTAGTCTTTGACGAGGAGGAAGACGTGGTGGATTTGGAAACTATCGCCAATTGCTTCCCACAGCTTAGCCATTTATCACTGAGCTATGACTTGAAAGATGTGCTACTTCATTATGGCTTGCAAGGGAATTCAAATCTGCAGAATGTGGTCGTGTTAGAGCTTGGTTGGACTGTGATCAACGATCTCTTTTCACATTGGGTCGAAGGGTTACTAAAACGGTGCCCCAATCTGAAGAAGTTGATTCTCCATGGAATCATTTCAGAGGCCAAAAGTCACGAGGAGTGTCAGATATTGTCTGGTTTCTTCTCATGCCTCTTCCAACTCATGGGGAAGTATACTGCTGTGGATGTGCAGTGTAAGTTTGACTAGTCGGGGGTGTTGTTTATGATTGATTTCGATGAGGTGTTAAAGTTTTTGCATAAAAAACGAGTCCCGTAAGGATTGTGTACAGGTAAAAGTTTACATCTTTAGATCCCCAGGAACCCACTGATAACATCCGATGTAGTTTCTTCTGCTATAGCAGGCAGACTATGTTTTGCCGTGAGCTACAACACATGCTGAATGTAGATGAATACTCTTGATTGGTTTCTGAACTATCTAGTGAATGCTCAAAATGGTTGATTCGTTGATAATGCTTCTCCCTTTCCACAACATGGAGAGATCAGAGATAGACCAAAAGCCTTGATCTTTCAATTTGATATTTGGGGCCAACTTACATGAGTTGCTCTAAGTCACCTTTATCATCTTGATTCATCCTTTTCTCAGCTTAGCCTACTTGTGTTGTGTATTACAGGTGTTCCTTCTCTTCAAATATAGCATTTTGTCATCCCCAATGTAGAAGGAAATCGATTATATTTCCATTATGATACATTGAAGGAGATAATAAATGTCTCTCTTTGAAACAACTTGTTGCCTTTGTTTGCTGTTTTGTCATCTTGTCAGCAAATGTGACCAATGTTGGAAATGTTATCCAGAAGGGCGGCTCCATTTAAGACTCAAGAGTCCAACTTTAGTTTAAATATAGCCATTCTAGAGAACCAGCTGCAATTTTTTCCAGCTGCAATGAGATGAAACAAAGAGACCTTCAAGTCTGCAATCCACCAGATTGCTCTGATATTGCAATGTTCAAGAGGGATGACATATGCCATGTTTAATTCAGCTCTGATATTGCAAGGTTCACGACTCAGATGTATCACATACGAGATCTGTTAGAAAGTTATGATTCGTCTGTTAATTCAACTCTCGAATCCTTCTTCTCATCACAGTTCTCTGTGAACCCATACATTATATGTGGTCTTAACTCGGTCTAAAATGAGTAACAAGAGATGTATTCGCAATAGGCATGGGATGAGACGTTAAAAGTGTGATTATTGAGTATGCATAGGACCAAAACTTCCATGTAGATAAATACAGCCATTCTAGCATTACTGTGGACCAGAAATTTCTTTTCAACAGATGTACTACTCTGATTGGTAGGAGGCTGCTTCAGCAAAATTTCTGCTCTCATGAAAGATAGCATTTCTTACCCTGGTAAATTTGTCTTTCACCATTGTAAAAAATAAAGTTGACTGATGAATTTTCCAAGAGTAGAACTCACGAAAAATATTTATAATTAAATCCAAGGTAAAAATGAATAAAGAAAAGAGGTTCAGAGGCAGGATCTCCACAGATACACAGGACAGGAGTCAGTATTTCTGCAGAGGCCTGAAATTTTTGCTTTTGACCTCAAAATGCAATCACAAAGAAGGGAATAAAGTCAACTTTTCTGTTACCTGAAAATCCCCAACTCCCTCTGTGCATGAACCATTCTTGTGTACAAACCCTAAATTAAAAAAATTGCCCTCTCTCAAGTACCAACTGTCCTTCTGGGGCTGCCTGCCTCTCCACAAATAGTTTATACATTCCACCAACAAATGTTTAGAAGTTAGAACAACATACACATTTTGAATAGGCGTCTCTAGATAGTCAGGTTATGATGCATGTTTAGCACGTGTTGACATTGTTGAAACCCGCTCTTGTATGCTCTTAGCTGTTGGACGGTCAAAGTAACGTTGACGATAAATATGTGAAAGGCAATTTAACAACATCAGTATAACAACCAAACCGTTTCAATAATGCGGCCTAAAGGGAGGCTCGAGATTTAAATTGAAGGCAAAGGGAATTGGGGAATGTCTTTCCAGTATCAGATGATGGCTAGTATAGCTGTTTTTGGTGGCAGCTTTAGATGTCTATTATTCTCTAAGACTATTGCCCTAAATAGTGACCTAAAGTTGCTCTAGATGATACATTGGTTGGTTAATGTAATGATGCCTAATTTTATGCAACTCCAAGGGACCATCATCCATATAATCCAGAGGAAGAGGGGAGAGGCCAAAATACATTCTTGTTTGCTTTTAATGCAACCCTGGGGGGTTGGAGTTTTACCAAAGTACGCAGCAACACAATCACTCCAAGGATGGGATTGATTAAAACGAAATTTGAACCAAAAACAAGGATGTTCTTGGGTGTTTGGATAAAACGGAATCAAACGTGCAATCTTTCACGTGGAAGAAGGCTCGAATGATATAAAGGTAGATGCCCGGCCACGATCAACGCGTTCTTGATCGATACAAGAGCTCAACGAGCTTGGAATCCACCAAAGCTCAACACAAGTACGCAAACTTGCAAAAACCCCAAAGGTTTCAATTCAATTCTTCAAAATCTGAGTTTTACAACGAAATAGAAAGCTTAAATATGCCTAGCTAGGGTTACACACGTCCCATAAACTCCTAAGTACAGTCTAATACGAAAAGGAATCAAAAACTACCAAAACAATGAAATCCTAACTAAACAAGAAAAGGAAAATCTGCCTTTAGCTCCAAGTAACCAAACAGCTTTGATGCCATCTTTGAGCCTCCCGATCAAAGACTTCCAAGTTGATTCGAACTCAACCAATTCCTTTCCTGTGTAGAAGAAAACTTCCTCTTTCACCTCCAACTTGAAACAGCCCGAGATCATTCTCCAAACTCCAGATATAAGCCTTCAAAGTTGGTATCTCAACACAGTTTTCTGCCTTAGATATTTTCTGGCAGTTTTCCAGTTTTGAGGTAGCAACTTTGAGACTTTGGAAAACAACCTTAATGAATTCTTCTTGAGCAACCAAGCATACCAAGGTGTATATAATCACTCCATGTTCAATACAAGTCATTAAACTTGAATTTCCATTGAGCCAATTGAGAGAAACGTGCCTCCAAAGTCGGGTACTTGAACACGGAAAATGACACTGACAGAAATGAATGTTCTTCAGGCAGCTTGAACTTGCTTCTTCGTCAAGTAATTCCAACTTGTAGAGTGGCCTATTTGGGATCATATCAGCTTTGATGGGTTTGTTGCCTTACAAGCACAAGTGTCCTACAAAATATGGACCACCACTTCACCACCCAGAAAGAAACAGAACCCACCACAACAAGTACTTTCTTCTGGCTTGCTGGGTCAAAAGTCAAAACATAAACAAAAGGGCTACTACTGGAGAAGACTTTGACCTTCCCTCTCAGGTTACTTGTGTCCTACAAACATGCCAAAGATAAAGAATTCTAGAATAAGCTGGAACCTGGGTTTGTTTTAAACTTAATTTATACCAACTGGGTTAAAGTAAGTTCACCAAATTAAGATCTGGTAGCCATTAATATACATTGGATTTGGTTCAGAAACAAGTCACCTTCCAACACATAGAAGTCTATAAGAGAGAAGTATGAAAGAAAACTTCTAAAAGAAATAGGAAGTCTGCAATGAGAAGAAAGATCTTATGGAATCTATCCATTCTCTCTCCCTATGAGAAATTAGCATATGAAGAACATGTTTGGCTTTATTTTTTGGGTTGTGTTTTAGGCCAATCATTGGGGGATCATGTAAGGGAATAAATTGGTAGAGGGGAAGGGCATATGACCTACAAAAAGGAAGTAGATGAGCACCCAACATAAAATATTTGAGTTTACTTTCTTCCTTCCAACCCTTTCATATTTCTATGAAACAGATCATGGTCCATTACACTTGGCCTTCTTCTTGAATTTATGCCTATTTTATTATTAGAATAAGGTCATAACCAATGTTTAATTCTCATAGAGAAAGGGTTATGAGTGTATCAATCATACAAGGCATGGCTATCTAATTATGAACCTTTCCAATGTTTTGTGGTTCAGGCTGCTAGATCCCTATTGACTATCTGATTTTTTAAAATGCTTTGTTGGGTTTTTTAAAAAAAGGGTAGACCTTTGCAATCAAAGTGGTAGTTTTGATTGTTGGATTGGTTGATTTCATTATTATCCATTTGAAAGAATAATATGGACTTAAGCAATATATTAAAGGAGAAACCTTTCACCTAATGCAAGGGATTAGGAGTAGGACCCTACTTAGTTTGTATCAGAAATTGGGAGAAAGGGAAACTAAACAAATGAATAAATAAATGGGGATGGATATGAGGAAGAGGGCAAGAGCCAAGAGGCATGGAAGGAGAAAAATAATAAAATGGAAAATAATTCTATTAATGGAAAAAGGAATCTTTAATGTGGCATGGTTTTAGGTGATGAGAGGGAATGGATGTTGACCTATCAACAAAATGGAGGGATAATACCAAACAAATCCATGTCTCATCCCCTCCCTAATATCTACTAACAAGAAGAGTGCCTTTAACTTGAGATTTAATAATAGTGGTGATATTCATCAACAAAATAGCAGGTGGGGGGTTTCTGGATTTTCTTATGTAGTGTTTGTGTTTGTTCTAGATAATGCAAAATTGACGAAACCAATCGACACCATCCTGATTTTGTGCCAGTTACATCAATTTCTTCAATGGTAAGATGAAGTTCACTTTTAGTATGTTTATAGAGAGGTTAGTGTATAACGAGGGTTAATTTACTTATCTTGAGTTTCACGTTATTGCATTTAGGACGCATCTTCCGCTAATTATATTTGTATGATCCATTAGTTATTGATGTATGTTAGTATATCAGGGTCAGTCTAAATACCATGATTTTCAATTTTCATGCCATTGATGTTTACGATGCATTTTTTGCTCGGTAGATATTTATTTCTATATGTTAATGCACTAGGGGTGTTGTTTTGCAATCATTTAGAAAAGAAAAGAAAAGAAAAGAATAAATAGAGTTGAGTTTCTATGGTGTACACTTGATTACTTCCTTGCTTGCCATATATGGTCCTAGAGTTAATTGCACCATGTGCCACCTAAGTTTACAATTTGTTGCACATTAACTACTTAAGCATTTTTTGTTGCTACTAAACCATTTACATTAACTTCTTGTTGCACCATTGTCCTTTTCGTCCACCGAACTAACGGTAGGTGTCCAGCTGTAAGTTTCCATGCCACGTGGGCTGCCACATCAGCTACTCTAGGGTGAGTCACATGTGGGCCAACAAAAAATATTTAAGTGGTTAACGTGCAACAAATTATAAACTTAAGTGGTACTAGGTGCAATTAACTCGATGGTCCTATCCCCAAGCCATGACTTTAGGGTTGCAAGAAACAAACCGAAAGGTGCTATTGAAGGCCTCAAGATTGCGTGGGAAGAGGGCTACAGAAAGATCGAGCTTAATCTTGACTCGGAGACAACAATCTCCATCATCAGGAGCAACGCGGATGATGACCATAGACATGGCCAGGTTGTTGCTTTGTTCTGCAGCCTTTTGAACCAGGATTGGGAGATTAGAATCTCACATGTGTATAGAGAGTCGAATCATGCAGCTGATTACCTTGCTAATTTATGTTATG